TAATTTTTTTGTTTTTTTTTAAATCATGTTTGATAGTATAAGTTTTTTTTAATGAAATTGAAATATATTAATATTAATGAAAATGATTTATGTTATATAAAGTTAAATACATTATTATTTAATGTAAAGAGTTTGTTCTACAAGGTGGTCTTCTTATGATCTATTTTGATATTTCATTTTGTTGGCGCTCATGTCTCTAAGTCTCTCTTGTGTATTTGTGTCATTATTATCGTCTTTTTCTTCCTACGTTGGATTTTGAGGTGTAGTCATTGTTGGTATAAAATAATCCATGAATCAAACTTGTTGATAAGCTGACGATGGTGTCATGGAAGAGGTGCCAAAAATATTTGATCTGAAATGCATCATATTAAATATATAAGGTGTCCTCCAAAATGGCTTCCCCTGCCGAGATTGTGAAGTTGATCTATATAACCATAGAATGGACCAGGTTATTGATAACTTAATGGAATAGGTTGGTGATAGCTTAACATACTGAGTTTGTGATAGCTTGTCGGACAAGGTTTGTGATAAGTAGATAGACCAACATGTGAATAAGTTGATTAAGGTATTTGGTGTTGTTGTTCCTCCACTATTATATCATACTAATGAAAAAAGTATTAATATTTATGATAACAATATACCCATTGAAATAAATAATATTGATATGTAGTTAATCGTCTACATATTATGCTTGTTGAGTGAAAATACACTGTGTTGTACGTTGAAATTACCATTACATATATAGTATATTTTCACATAAATGTTTTTTTTTTTCATTGAACTATTGACCTTCAATTAATCGATTATGTCAGTTCTACAATGCAATCCACTATTGATGATATTATGGCCAAAATGTTTGTCCTTCCCCTCATATCTACTTTATGAAGTTCATCTAGGTTCATTGGATCATGAGAAATATTTTGGAATAGATCAAATGATCTCATCACTTGATCAGTCTGATGAAACTCAACAATTATGAAACAAATAAGAGGCACGATAAAACGTGACGGGGAAACTTCAATATTTATTAGTGATGTAAGGCACTCCTACAATAAGAAGTCTATATAAACTACACAATGAAATACAAATATATTAGTTAAAAATAAAACATGTATGAATGAATGACAAATATATTATCGTATACCTCCTTCTGTTGTAGTTGGTCCAACGTGCAGCGTACTACATACATGACCTATGTAGAGATATTTGACCTCTGTGCAGGTCGAGACCACCTAAATTCAAAAACAATTTTGTAATTTGATGCATATTGTATTGAAAAAAAAAAGGTTATACCTTTTTGTTATGGGAAAATCAAATCCTGCATAAACCTCTTCATTATTTAAATATTCAATAAGTGGAATAAGGCATGTAATTCGATCTCATGCCCAACATTGAAGAAGTAACATACACCCTCTAATATTTTCTTAATGAAGGTAAACTCTATGGTGCAATGCTCGATAAAGTTAGGGATAACAGTTAAGTTTTGCAAGAGTAAAAAATACATCAAGTGTACTACAGAAGCTGATATATTAAACATTAATAAACTTTATATATGATGCATAACATGTGTGCTTGAGCATATTAAACAATAATATTATCATCTACGTCATTAATAAGTTGTTGGAATGTTGCATTCAACCAAGAAAATAATCATTTTTCCTTTGGTCACTCCTTCAGGTGGATGTGACTCTAATAAAAGTTGACAGCATGTTAAAATCATCACTATCGAGATGAGTGACAAACTCTCCATCAATGAGTAGACCAACTTGTAAAATAATATCTTCCAATGTTATAGTTGTTTCATCAATGAATAAGTGAAATGTGTGAATTTTAGATCTCCACCTCTCACATAATGTTGTTATTAAGGGATGAATACTCTTTCATTTCCTTCCTTTAAATTCGTCATGTATTTATGGTGTTGAAAGATATTAATTCCCTGTCATTCCCATAAAAAATATATTGATTAATGTAAAATAAAATAAATATAATACAATAATATATATATATATATATATACATTACAATAAATAATAAATATAATAAGTGATAAATGTATAGTAAATACAGTAAATAATAAATGTATAGTAAATACAATAATAATAAAACTATATATATATTATACAGTGCTTAATAATAAATATAGGCAACTAATAAATAATAATAAATATAGTAAATAATAAATATATAGTAAATACAGTAAATAATAAATATATAGTAAATACAATAATAATAAATAATATATATATATATAATACTAATAATAATACTAATAGGCTTCATAAAATAAAAATAAAAATTAATCAATCATAATAAGATTCAAATAAAAATGAATTAATAATCACTGAAACTTAAACAGAATAAACATATAAAATTAGTGTAATATATATATATATATATATATATATATATATATATATATATATATATATATATATATATATATATATATACTGAAAACATAATAATTAAGTACATGCGTGAAAACATAAGAGACGAAGAAGAAAGAGGAAAGAAAGTTGCCCACCCAACCTACCATAATTTATTTTTGCACAGGTTCTCAATGCTCAACATTGTTACCATATGCACTTACACCAAAGTCATGCTATATATAGCACGACTTCAGCATTTAAATAATCTGAACAACTAAGTTTATTGATTATTAAAATTTAAATTTAAATAAAATTGTATGTATTTTTTTATGAATGGGTAAAAGGAAATTTTTTTATTTCAATTTCATTATTTAAATAGTATGAAATTGTCAATTAATTTTTTTTATCATTAAAATTTAAACTTAAATAAAATTGATTATATTATTTATGAATTGGTAAAAAGAAATTTTTCTATTCTTATCAAAATGATAGAAATTAAAAATCATCATAATTATTTAATTAATTATAAAAAAATTGAGATAGGAAAATAAAAAATACTTAATATAATATTTGGTGATCGAGAAAAGTTATACAAATATCTTCTTATATGTTCAAAATTGTTAAATAAATCCTCTCCCGTATAATTGTTCAATATATAATTATCTCTTATTTCATAAATGTTTAGCATGATCCATCCTATTTTTTTTTCTTCAAACCATATATTTGATTTAACTACAAATAATAGAAAGACTTACGACAGCACATATGCACAATAAAAATGAATCATCCTAATATAATAAACTAAAAATACTCATTTTATTATATTAAATATTATAATCATAATAATTATCCATATAAATAATAATATTATAATATTAATATATTTATTTTTAATTATTTTTACATTTTATATTTAATTAAAAAATTTAATTTATTAATTAAAAAAAAACTAAAATCGTACCATGTGATAAGATTTTTAAGAAAAATAATAAACTCGTGACACGACTTGTTCCACAGTTTAAAAAAATTCATCATATAGTCTCATCTAAGAAGCATGATTCCTTCTTATAAAGTCGTCTCCATATCTCTCTTTCCACATTTTAATAATTTTAATCCATATCTCTCTTTCCACATTTTAATAATTTTAATCAATTTAAAAAATATGCACTACTTTATAATTAATGTCTCATTCCAGGTTGACATTCGTTACTATTTATAACGTTAGAGTTTGCGCAAGCCACTTTCTAAAAGCTTAGTAGTAAGGGTCACACTTTAGACTAGCCCTGGTCCCACTACGCTCGATTCACTCTCTTCGGAATCTGTGGGACTTCACCCGCTGCCCAATCGTCCGCAGAATCGGCCGCGACTCGCTCGATAGTTTAGCGTAGCTACTTTCTAAAAGCTTAGCTTTTAGTAGCTAGCATGTAAACTCTTTATTATTAAAACTTTTAGAATTATTTTTATAATTATTATTATTATAATAATAATAATAATTTTTCTTTAAAATATATTTTAAAAAGAAGTAATGAGTTGATTATTTATGTTTGTGATTAGGTCAAAGTGTATAGATTTTAAGCATGTGTGTATTAAGAGAAAAGGACCAAGTACACTGGTGGAAGATCAAACGGTTTTGAACTTATTAGTTTTATATTATTTTTAATTAATATAAAAATAAAACTATTAATTTTGACATAAAAATAATATATAACTAATTATATTATTTTGAAAAGGGAAAATTTGAAAAAAAGATGTACTCATCTAACTTATTCATTTTTATATTATTTTAATTTAAACTAATCGTTAGGTGTTAATTTTATAGGTAAATACGACACTATTGTTAGTTTATGTAACTATTTTTTTTCAGTCCTACAATATTTTTAGTTCATCTAATTTTTTTTAACAATGACGTGATAACATGACTTCATTTTTAAATTTCATTTATTTTAATAAGATTAGACAATTGAGGTTAAAAATGAAATTTAAAAAATTACAATATATTTTTGAAATAAAATAAAAAAATCAACTTTATGAAAATAAATTAATTAAATATATAATTAGTACACTTCTTAAATATAATAAATAAGTCTACTTCTTACTTATTGAGTTTCCCTATTTCAAAATAAAATTTAACCAATAAAAAGAAATAATAACTTTAATGCTTTATTTATTTTTAGTTTCATAATAAGATCGATATTCACTATGTTGTTCTTTTATGCCAAATTTAGGTTGCTCAAAATATAAGCTAGGCTAGTAAGGTAATGGCTTTTATATTTCCTAATAATGCTTGAAGGAAACATACAAGGGACATTGACAAAGAGAAAGAAATAAAATACATTGAAGAAAACAAGAAGGGAAAGCAACAATGAAATCATTGACAATTTGTGTGTGAAAAAGAGATCGGTTTACACAAAATTACCAATTTGTGGGGTTCCAACTCCCCCACTAACACATGCCATAAATACTTCACAATTTGATGCATTATTCTTCTCCCCATTCACACTCTATTCTGTATAACCTTCTTCTCAATATTCCCCCTCTCTACATATTATCTCCCCTGAAGTTTTTCTCACTTTCTTTGCCAAACTCAGTCTTCTCTTTCTCTTTCTCTTGTTTCTTTCTCCTTCTCTATCCATGGCCTCTACAGGAGGCACTGTTTTGATATTGGCAATGGTGGCATTACTTCAGATTCAGATATGCTCATCGGAGATAAACCGAATAAACTTTCCCAATGGCTTCGTTTTCGGAACTGCATCTTCAGCTTTCCAGGTTCGTACATCACTCATTGTTTCAATCCAACTTTTTTTTAATTTTTTTTTTAATTGTTTTTGTGTATATTATTCTTCGCTGTGCTTTTTCTTTTGATAGAACAACGAAAAACCTAGTCATGCCTTTACTCTTCTTCTGCTTTTGCGGACTTTGGATGGTTTTCTTCCGCCACGTGAACGAGTGGTTACCGCAACTGAAAGAGATAATAACCAAACGACGTAGCATAGGAAATCAGAAAGAAAAAAAAAATAAAAAAAATAATGCGCTTAACATGATCAGTTATTTAAAGTGATTTTATGTTTATTTACTTTTATTTTATATAATTATCAAAATTGTATACAGCTTTATTAAAACATATTAATGTTTGTGTTTTTTTGAATAAATAATATAATGATTCATAACTAACTGAATTGTATTCATTGTAGTATGAAGGGGCTATTAAAGAAGATGGGAGGGGACCATCTGTGTGGGACACATTTTCACATACTTTTGGTAAGATTTTTACATCAAACTTTATTTATATGCACTGATTAGTCTAATTATTCACTATGTCTTCTTGTTTTCTGCTTAATTAATTCACTTGAATGCGCATAAATAATTGTGATATTGGTTTTTTTTTTTTTTTGGAATCTGAAGGGTAGAGTTATGTTCTAATAACTAATGAAAAATAATCAATATTTATATGTTTATAATCTACAATCATATAAATAATATATTTAAAAAATTAAATAACTTAAATAAAATATTTATAAATTTATTTACTCAATTAAACCTATTTAATATTGATATATAAAATTTAATAATAAAAAAATTAATTCATATATAAAGTTATTTTCCTTTTTTTATTTAGTTTTTTTTTCTCTTCAATTATTTCTTATTATGTGATGTTTGTTTTTCTTTTTCTATTCCTCATCTTATTATTTTGATTAAAATACTATATTCAAATTTGATATAATAAGTTTTTTATTATTTAAAAAAAAATTAAATTATCTAAAAATATTATAATTTAGTATATTCTAATTTTAAAAAATATTATATTATAAATTTGAGATATTATAAATTGTTATGTTATTATAATTTTAAATAATTAATTGATATTTTTAAATATTAAATTATAAAATTATTTACTGTTATATCATAATTTAAATAATTAGTTGATATTTATTTAATTTTAGTATTAATTTTAAAAAAATCACATTAACATAATTTTATTAAAATTTATCATAATAGTTTTAATTAGAAAAAGTAAATAATAAGTAGGAATGGAGATAGAAAATAAGAAATATGAGATAAAAAAAAACAAAGAATGAATGAGGGGAGAAAAAAATTACAAAAAGAGAACAAAATCTACCTGTGAACAATAATCAAAATTATTTAAATAAATTAATTAATAAAAATTGTAATTAAATATTTATTATTAAACATATTATTTATAAAATTGATTATCATGAATTTTTGACTCTATACTGAAAGAGTTACGAAGCTTCCATTGGAGAACAAGAAAACATTATCATACAAGAATCAAAAACCGTTTTGGTTTCTTATACAATTTTTTTGGTTCTATTTTTGCCTTAGAGTTACGAAGGTTCCACTGCAGAATAAAGAAACATCTACCGTGAAAACCATAAAACCATTTTGGGTTGATGTTTCACTTTTTTTAGTCCCTCGATAGCATATAAAATTTAAGAACTTTATTTATTTTTTCTTTTATAGAAAAACCTAACTAATTTACCTGTTTCTCTCTAGTCATATTAGTTTTTATCTCATAAAATAAAAAGTAATAATAAAATTCTTAACTTAATAATTAACCTAAAAATGTCATTCATAATTAATCTATCAAAATAAACTTAATATATCCAAAAATTAAGTTAATTTAGATAATTTTTTTACTTAAATTAAATTAAGTATATTTTGGTAAAATTTATTTAAGTTATGATTTACATTAATTTATATCAAATTAATTCTTATGGATAAGTTCATTTTATAAAATAATAACTATTTTTAAATAAAAATAAAAATAATATTATTTTATATAAAATATATTATAAATTAATTTAATAAAATATTTATTTATTCTAAATTTAATGATTAAGATAATTATTATTTTAGATAATTTAATTATTAAAAAATATGATGATATTTAAAAGGAAATTTTTACTTTTTTTTTGAAATTGAAAAAATTTATTATATTGTAATTTATATATTAAGTTATTATATTAAATAAAAAATAATTTTATTAATATAATTTAATTATATATATATATATATATATATATATTATTTTTTAAATAATTTTAATTTGAATATATTATATATTTTTTTAATTATCATAAATTTGACTATTTTATTTAATGTAAGTTTAAGCTATGAAAATATTATAATTTATTTTAAAATATAAAGAGTTATTATTATTTTATAATTAATTTATTCTGCATATAATCCAAAATAAATCTAATGATTTATTATGATTGTTAGTAAACATTTATGTAAATCCAAAGTTTTGTTAAGAGAAAAACTCTATTCCACTAAATAAATCATCTCAAAATTAGGATTAAGGATTAAAATTCCAACAAGTCTCTATCTCCCCAAAGTAAAACCTGAATTCATAAAATTCAAGTAAACTTGGTTCAGACGTAATAAATATATGAATGTATAGTCAACAACATGGTTTTATCGTTAAATTTTGATTTCTTAATCTTTATTTTAGTATCTTGTATTATTTAAATTTCTTAATCTTTATTTCAGTATCTTGTATTATTTATGCATAAGTAAACAAAATACGGGTCTACATCCTACAACAATTAAATACAACTTTTAGGATCTACAACATGTTTGTTTATTAAAAGTTAGAATAGACATGTGGATTTTGCTATTCCATTGTAACTAAAGGAACAGAATTTATTACGAGACTATATATAGAACATCATAATCTTCTTATAAGGTCAACTTAATAGAGTTATCATTATTCTCTAATAAGTTAACGCTAAGGTTTACTTAAGTTCATATCATCTTAATTAATACTTTATCGGAAAATAAATTCTATTAATAATAAATAATATAATCATTTTATAACAATTACACTCAAATCAAGAATTGGGCTTCACTCAAATCATCACACTGTTTTCTGGGTGAAAAGATAGTTCCGAAGCCCAAAACTATTATTACTCCCAACAATTAGAATTCGTCTTGTTTTCACACGATAGCATTATAGTCTTTACAACAATAATATTTTTAAGAGATAATTATTTATTGTGAATAATTTGAAATTTGAGATTATTTTTCATCTTAATTTGATTTACCATAATATTGATATATTTTGATTTAAATAGTTTTTCTTATCATTAAAAAAAACTTTTTATCTTTAATTAGCATTTCTTTTTTTAATTTTTCTCATAATACTTTATTCACAATAACAATTTACTACTGTGTTTTCTTTTATATTATGGCTATTTTCCTTTTTATATAATTATATTTCGAATATTTTAGATTTTAGCCTATATAATAATAATAATAATAATTATTATTATTATTATTATATTGAAGTTAATTAAATATTTTTAAATTTATAATATTAATTTTATATTATTATTATTAGTAAAAGTTTGTTTGACTTTACATTGCGTTATACTTGTTTAAAGATTATATATTAATTTTATATTATGAGCGTTTTGTAAAAAAAATATTATTTTAAATATGTCTATGATATTCTAAATATTCATGATAGTATCATTTGAGTTTTATGAAGATATAATTGTTTTTTATTTTAGATAATTTGAAGATTACTTTAATGTTAATTTTAGATTTCATTTCTGAAATTATGTAATCAAGTTGACGAATTTAGATTTAAACACTTTGTTGCAGGCAAGATACTTGATTTCAGCAATGCTGATGTCGCTGTGGATCAGTACCACCGATACCAAGTAAGTAATAATGTGTGCAATTCATAATTTTGGAACCTTTTCTTCTGCTGCACAACTTAACAAACCCCTGTTTTTTCTTATAAAATGAAACGAAACCCTTTTTTGTGATAAAACAAATAGAAATTATAAGTTATTAGATCTTTATTTGAATTATTATAATTAAAAAATTAACACAAACTACTATTGGACGAAGCCGTACATGAAACTAAAAAGATAAAAAAACTATAAAAATAAAAAAATAGATAATAGAATAAAAAAATAAAAATAAAAAGTTTTGTTTTTAATTCCTTTTTTTCTTCTTGTTTATGTGATACAACATGATAACATTTTTTTTTCAATTGGAGAACAAGCTTTGTTAAATATTCAAGATAATTAAAAAATGATAAATTTTTTTTGTTATATTACAACACATTTACATTTTTTTTATAATAAGATACTAATTTTTTTAATATAGGAGAATATTTTTTAAAATTAAAATGTAATAAGAGTCTATTATTACGTCTAAATATTCTAGATTCTTATTATTTCGTTAATTTCAAATGTTTTTTTCAGTTGGGTTGTCCATACATCTGTTTTAATAACTGGATCGACTCAATCGATATCATCTTACAAAATCACAAAACTGATTTAAAAAATATCTAGTTAAAGAACCGGAAAATCTGTTTTAAAAAATATGATAAAATGGGTCTAAACTAGTTTAATTACAAAATTTTAATGTAATTATATTTTTAGTCCTAAAATTTTAAATGGTTTTGACTTAAGACTCTTAAATTAAAAAACAAATTATTTTAATCTCTTAAAATAAGCTCTATTTTTTTTAAAATATTTTTAATCTTTTCAAAAGATTAAAATCATATTTTGCTAATTTTTTTCTCTCTAAACGTTCTCAGTTATGTAACTAACCTCTCAAATCATATTTATTAAAAATAAATTTGAAAATTTTTTTAACATTAATTTTAAATAGAAAAAGATAGAAACATTTATATTTATATTTTATTTATAAATTATAATAATGATATATAATACTTGTTTAAATATTTTTAATTTCTATCAAATTAATTTAATTTTAATTCTGATCTTATAATTTTTTTAAAATTATTTTAAAAATTAATCTTTATAAAGATTTAAAACCTCTTATAAATTTATCACCAAGCTAAAATATTATATTAAATTAATATCTAGTTATAATAATCAAATTATTTTTAAGTTGTCAAGTGAAATGTAAATAAAAATATCATAAATCATGGGCGCTTATAAAAAGGTTCCCTTAAGATCAAAACTTGTACAAATCTAGTATGAATTGTTTAGAAGTGGTGTGACATAATATATCTTATTTAAAATGAAAATGGGTTGCTTAAAAGCATCTCGTTGAGTCTTAATACTAATATCTCATTCATCCAAGATCCTGTAAAATATAACAAGGAATAATCTTCCACCGTGAAGAACGAGTTCTTTCGCAAGAACTCCTAGATCTACCAACTACTTAGAAAAAAAAAAAAAAATACTAATTTTCTAACATATTATGAAGAGAATCAACTAAAAAAAATAAAAATAAAACATAGATTTACCAACAAAGAGGAAAACAAAAGAAAAAACACTGGGTGAGAGACAATGAAAGGATGAGATAAAAATTAAGAGAGAGAAAGAGAGTGAAGCATGGGAAGAGGGAAAAAAGGGGAGGGGAAGGAGAGGGTGAAGGATAGTGATTTGAAGCATATTGAGGGGAATAAAGGGTGGGAGGGGAAAAATGGGGGTGAGAGGATGGGAGTAGCAGAACGAGGGAAAGAGAAGAGGGGTTGGGAGGAGCTATAGTGTGGTGTGAGGAGCCAGAGGGATGGAAAGAAATAAGTATTAGATGAGTAATTGAGAAAGGTAGAGCAATCTAAAGACAAAGAAGTTGAATAGGAAAACAATTATTAAATTCAAAATGTAGAAAATTGTTGCTTATGTTATTTTAACAGTTTGTTATTAAATTTTTATTATTAAAAATTGATTAGAAAAGTTGTATAAATTAAGTAGCTCTGAAACAATTGAAACACAAACCATCTATTTTGCATTCTCAATTTTAATTTCAATTTTTTTTTTTCTTTTCAAATGAATCCAAACCAATTTAAGCTTTTTTTTAATTTTTTTTCAAAGCTATCAAATACTTTCCTAGACTATAAATTCTCAAAATCATCCTCTATTGTTTTTTTTTCTTACGTGACAATCATAATCAATTACTCAAAATTCTCAAAATCTTCATTTTCCTTTTCATGTCACAATTACCACCAATGTAAAATACTCAATCTCTTTCTACCTAAATTTCTTAAACTTTTCCTTCAATTTTTTTTGCATGATTTTTCAATTATGTTTTACAGATCTCTCATTAATTCTAATACCCCATAACCTCATTTCAAGATGAAACACAATTTTTTCAATTTTATTCTCAAATTATGCTAGAAAATATCATACAAAAAGAAAAAAATTCTATATAAGAGAAGAAAAATATATACTTCTCAATTGAAAATGATACACATCTCATTAGTTCTTGACTTAATATCTTAATAGATCCATTTTTTGTGATGTTCAATCAAGAGATTGATTTTAATCGAGAGTAACTCAAAATCATAATAACTTTCATTGAAATCTACTAGAGAAAACACTAAATTGAGTCAAATCTTAATAACAAAAAATTAAGGTTAGTATTCAAAAATTCAATAATTATTACAAACAAACAATTTATTTAAAAAAAGTGACTAGATGTCATGATCAATATATATGTTATCTGGAAGGAAGATGAAGAATATGATTTTAGAGTTTGGAGCATGCATGACAAAGGTTGAAAAATTAACCAAATGGTTAGATTAACACAAAAAAATCAGTTAAAAAAGAACAAACATTTATGCTAGTGGAGGGGTTGTCTAATATAAAGATAGTAATTAAGATTTTAAATGATGACACACTATCACAAATTGATTGTACAATGGGACTAAAAGCTTTAAAAAGGAAGATAAAGGGAAAAGGAGTTGAAACACTAAAGAAGAAATGATGAGATACTTATTATGCAAGTTTCAACAACAAATGGAAAGTAATATACAAATTTAGACAAAGAAGAGTCATAAATTACAATTATGAAAATGTTCATATTGGCTTGGTTAATGATTACATAGATACTCAATTTAGTTGAAGGTTTCAAATCAAACTATAGATGCTCTAAGTAACTAAAGTCCATATTTTCAAATGAGATATGATGCACTTGGTACAAGAGATTTATCACTGCTAGAAAAATGTACTACTACAATATGTATATTAGCATATGGATCACCTGTTGATAGTATGGATGAGTATATTCAAAACTTTATATGTACTACAATTCAATGTTTAGAAGCTTTCATAAATTGTATGAAAAAAATATTTGGAGATGACTACTTAAGAAAGCAAAATGATAATAATGTCAATTGCCTAATACAAATTGGAGAAACACAAAGATTTTCATGTTGAATATCATTAATTGTATGTATTGAGAATGAGAAAATTGTTCAATTGCATCACATAGTAAATATTGTATAGGTGATCATCCAAAACCCATAATAATATTTAAAATTATTATTTCACAAGAATTGTAGATTTAACATGCATAGTTTCGACTTACAAATCAAATAATGATATTAATGTGTTAAATCAATCGTTCGTCTTTAATGATATTTTCAAATGATGAGCTACTCCTGTGAAATTTGCAATCAATAAAATCTCATATAATATGAGATATTGTCTTGTTAATGACATTTATCGTTATTAGACAACATTTGTAAAAATCATCTCAATGCCACAGGAGAGAAAAAAAGAAGTTATTTTAAAAAATATCATGTAAAATAATGAGAAAAGATGTTAATGAGAATTTGATATGCTAAAATATTAATTTACAATTATACGTGGTTGGTAGGGTTATTGACAATTAATACAATAATGCATAAAGATATATCAAATGTTGCCATATTTCATAATATTATTCTTAAGATATTATAATTAAATTTTCCAAAACATATTTGAAAAATGTTCCAATAACATTAATACAAAATTTAATGTTACATATCAACTATCAATGTTTATAATTTTTTTATTAATATATGTATTATTTTTATTATTAATAAATTCAATTTATTTTTATTAATTAAATATCAATTATTCATATATTTTATTTGATATTTTAATTGTTAACAATGAAAAGTTAATTAATTAATATTTCTAAATATATTTTAGAAATATTAAATTAATATTTTTTGTAGAACCTATAAAAATTATTTAATATCTCACAATAAAATCTACCACTAAAATTAAATTTTGATAAGATCTTATATTCTCCGATAGACAATGTAAGATCTACACAAAAGTTATCTAAGATCTGAATTGAGATCTTAACACAAAAATGGGACCGAAGATGGTCTAATAATGAAAAGAACTTATTTTAAAAAAGTAATAAGTATAAAGTGGTTCAATTAAAAAAAATTAATAATATATTATTTTTACATATTAAAATATAATTTCTATTACTACTTTACATGTAAAATTCTTATTACTAATAAATATTAATGAATGGTATTCAAATTTTAATTAAATATGATGACATATTTTACTTAATTTTTTATAGGCATTTTAAATATAACCTATAAATTAATATTTTATTTCAATTTTTAGTATTATAAAATTCGATATTATATATTTGAATATTATTTTAAATGTTATTAATTATTAGAGTAATTTAATTAATATCAATCCGATAACAATTAAATCATTTAACCTTTAACACCAGTTTTTAAAAACATTGCTCTATACTGTTCTGAAATGTATGCTAGACTTTGTAATGAAAAGATATTTCACATGTTCTTGAAAATGTTATGATTACTACTTGGCAATGGGTGTTATTGTGAAATTATTCAGTGGCATGTTGTGCGCACTTCACCTTGATTTTGTAATAGGTTTTATTTTTAACTTTCGTATTCGTAGTGTTATATTTTGGAGTTTAAGTGTGAGTTCACATCGTGTAAAAATTATTAAGTTAGAGTAGTATTAAGATTGTGGTTGAATGCGGTTATTTGTTCTCTCATATAATTAATTCATGTCATTCATACATCAATGCTGTTTTTCCTCTCAATGTTATTTAATATTATTATTAGTTTTATGTTGTGAGGTGGAGTATTTTAAGCATTCACTTTATGTAGTATCCTCCTTTATTAATTCATTTTGGTTGTAATTGTGTTAGCTTCAAATGGATACTTGTGTTTTGTCCGAGTGGTTTTAATAAGAATTTGATTTTTCAAAAGTAAAAAAGAAAAAATTAAGTACATATTTTAGTTTGCAGACTTTTTTTCTATGATTAACTCCTAATAATTAGTATTTTTCTTAAGTCAACAAAAAGGACTGCTTATTTGTTAAATTAAAGATGCAATATTATTTATTGATGAATGAAAGTGGCTACTCTCATGTAACTATTGATACAGTGAGCAATCATTATAGATGTCTGTTCTTAAAATAGGTAAAAATGTAAGAAGGGTCCAATAGAAATAAAATAACATTTCAAATTAATGATACAATTCAACAATTACTCTGACCCTTGGTCAAAGGTTGTGCTTGATTTTTTAAAATTGCATACTGTTTTTCCATGTAGGAAGATGTACAGCTGATGAAGGACATGGGGATGGATGCCTATCGATTTTCCATTTCTTGGTCTCGGATATTTCCCCGTAAGCGTTTTTATAAATTTTTTTCATTTAAATAGGTAATTGATTCAGTAATATTTACTACCATTGTTTTATGCGATTTGTCTTATAACACAATTTTGTACGAAATTACTATAGTGCTACAGATTGTTGTTGTAAAATTTAAGGAGTATACTATGCTCTTCTTTCTAGATAACAGAAGAAAAGGATTGATGCACACCAAGTTCAAAAATAACTTTAACCCACTTCTGAGTCTGACTGTTTAGTAATTTTAACTCTAATGTTAATTACTAATCCAGTATATTTATAATTACTTAGTAACTTTCTCTTTAAGTATGCGTAACCTTAGGAAACTGATCTGAATCAGTAACATTTCATGTGTTAGATGGATCTGGCCAAATCAATCAGGCAGGAGTTGATCATTATAATAAACTCATAAACGCGTTACTAGCCAAAGGTACCTCTCATTATCCTTGTGTAATTGCTACATCTATAGAATAGTTGTGAATATAAAATATGATTTCCATCTAGAAAGTTATCAAATCACGATTTATTAGGATGTATATGTCTTTAATGCTTCTCATTGCTTTATCCATTGGTTTTGTAGGAATTGAACCATATGTGACCCTCTATCACTGGGACCTACCTCAAGCCTTGGAAGACAAGTATAATGGATGGCTAAACACTTCGATCATGTACAAAATATAATACAACACTTGCAGTACTTTTAAAATTATGGTAATTAATAAGAAAAAAGTGCTTATAGTTACTTTGTTCTTGTGTGCTACAGAAAGGACTTTTCAACTTATGCTGAGACATGCTTTCAGAAATTTGGGGACAGGGTGAAACATTGGATCACATTTAATGAACCCCATACATTTGCCACACAAGGATATGATGTTGGTCTACAAGCGCCTGGACGATGCTCTATTCTCCTTCACCTGTTTTGTAGGGCTGGGAACTCTGCTACTGAACCTTACATTGTTGCGCACAATGTCCTACTTTCTCATGCAGCAGTAGCAGATATTTATAGAAAAAAATATAAGGTAAAGTTAAAAAAATTGTAATAAAGACTTTAATGCAAGGCGAAACCAATTCTATTCTGGTGGCCGTAATCTTATTAAGAAAGCAATATAATGATTCAAATGCAGAACATTATTCAGTGTGTCATTGGCATTAGAGATTTTAATAGTTTATTATTCTTTTGAAAGCCTATGCAGGTATAGATCTGCTCCATGTGCTATTATTTACACTGTATTAGAAAGCCTAAATACTAATAAGTTTGTTTACTGCACAGAGTATACAGAAAGGATCACTAGGGATAGCTTTTGATGTCATTTGGTATGAGCCAGCAACAAATACCCAAGAAGACATTGATGCAGCTCAGAGAGCTCAAGATTTTCAACTGGGATGGTAAGTTATTCACATAGTACCTCAAAGATTGAACTTTCAAATATTTTCTATCCAAAGGTATTAATGAAATTGCTGAATAGAATATAGAGAAAATTGTTTTAACCGGAAGTTCTATATGGGAGTTGTATAAAAGACTCATTTTTGCTTACATTTGAAAGTAGGCCTATAATATTATCCCACCATTAGAATGAAAACAAGGGCATGATCAAAACTAAATTTTTAGATGTCAAAATGACAGGTTTCTTGATCCTTTGATGTTTGGGGATTATCCAAGCTCCATGAGGAGTAGAGTAGGAAGTAGGCTTCCAAAATTTTCGCAATCCGAGGCTGCTCTTGTTAAGGGTTCCTTAGATTTTGTTGGAATCAACCATTACACTACATTTTTTGCAAGAAACAATTATACTAATCTAATTGGAGCTCTACTCCATGATTCCATTGCAGACTCTGGCACCATTACCCTTCGTAAGTTTCAAAGCAAATTCATTTACTTATCAGAGTGATTTATAATTTTGCTTTGTTCTGTCACTCACTTATTGTTTTCCTTCTCTTTGCTTTCAGCATTCAATGGTACTAAAGCTATTTCCGAAAGGGTAAGTCATAAACGACTTTTTTTTTTCCTCATTCAGATACTGTAATGACAATTGCTTGAGAATAAACCATAATGATATTGAATTTTGATACCGGAAGCTACTAAGCCAGAACATACAAAAGCCCTCATCATTATAATTCAATGTTTGCCAGCAAAACTGGTGACTAAATAATAAGAGATAATTGTCCTTGTACTTAATTTTCAAGTTCTATCATAATCAACACTCATTTTATCTACAATAATGAGAGATACTTAGTGCATAAAAGCCATTTTTTGTTGTTTATTATGTAACTTGTGAATTTGGACTTGCAGGCAAATTCGATATGGTTGTATATTGTGCCACAAAGCATGAGAAGCTTAATGATCTACATCAAACAAAAGTACGGAAACCCTTCTGTCTTTATCACGGAAAATGGTAATATTCGAATTCACATATTCTATAAAAATTCTAGAGTGCAATTTGGCATCAGGATATTTAAGTAAAACCTAAATTGTAAGTTTGACTCCTCTATAATAACCAATTCACTTTAGAGAGGAAAGGAAGGAATTTCAATCATTAATAATAAAATTAATGGTTTCTTAGGTGACTTTGCTTGTGTTTATTTAATAAAATAAGTAAATTTATTATTTTTATATATTTGTTTATCTTATTTTAAAAATAAGCATTTTTTACTTTAGTTTTAATAAGTAAATCTATATTTTTCCTTAATAAGTGATTGTTTTAAAAAATTCTTGTTTCTACCATTTTAAATTTAAACAATCTACCTGTACCAAGTTAAAATCCAATTCATTAATTTTCTCGTCTAACTGTTGAGATTCCTTTCTTTTTCATTAAAGTGAATAATTCAAAGGAGTCAAATCCATAAATTATTCGGCTGATACTTGGTGTTTGATAGAGTAAGTATATCGTGTATTTTCATGTTCCATAATTTGGAAAGCAACCTATTTTCCATTTTTCAGCAGAATAAAATGGCAGCAAGAGTAAAATTGTAGGCTAAATATTTTGTCTCTTGACTATCACAGGGATGGATGATCCAAATAGTCCATTTATCTCCATTAAGGATGCTCTAAAGGATGAAAAACGGATCAGATACCACAGTGGCTATTTATCGTACTTGTTAGCTTCTATCAAGTATGTAATAGTTGTTATTACTTGTATCAGAGTTTTGGGGTTGCATGAACATTATTTTTTTTTTTTAATTCAATAAACTAATGAAGTATTGATTTGACTTCTTGCAGAGATGGTTGCAATGTGAAAGGCTATTTTGTATGGTCACTGCTGGATAATTGGGAATGGTCAGCTGGATTTACTTCTAGATTTGGTCTGTATTTTATCGACTACAAAGACAAGCAGAAAAGATATCCCAAACAATCAGTCCAATGGTTTAAGAGCTTCTTGAATCCTTCTAAATAACTCTGAAAATTTGTGCAACTTTGAATAAAGAAAATTGCATTTGATTAGATTTGAATGATATGATTTTGAAAATTATTTTTGTTTGAAGATTTGAAAATGATTTGTGAATCAACTTTTACTAGTTGAACACCTTGTAATTGAATGACAGTTAATTTCATTTAGTGATCTTTTTTTTTCCTGTGAATTAAAGAAAGTAGTGTGCATGATAAAGGGAAATTTATTAATTCAAGTGTTTAAAGCTAAAATAAAATTAAATGCACTAAAATCTAACTATTTCTTATTAGATTTATTAAATATAAACATGCCTTTATCTTTCAAGAAAATTAATATTTTGTTTTGACCTATCTTCTTTAAAACTTAGAAACTAGTGTCCTCCAAAAAATATAAAAATTCATGTTTAACATTCTCATTTAAAAAGTTCTTATTCTGAGTTTACATAAATTAAAAGGTTAGAATTTTTTCAACAATTCTTAATGTAATTGTTGGAACACCGTATTTAAGCAAATCTCAATATCTTATATATATTATGTATGACAGTGATTTCAAGAGCAAGAGGAAAAGTTAAAAATTTATTTTAACTTAATTTAATTATTTATTTGCTCATAATCAAATAATATGAAATATTTATATTTTAAAAAAAAGTTAAAAATATTTTCTTATTAAAACATGTGTAAAAATATATTATAATTTATATATTACATTATTATATCTAAAATTAAAATTAATTTTATAAATATATATTAAAAAAATTTAAGCATATATATTTTATTTATAATTTTTATTTAAAGTATTTTTTTCAAATATATAAAAAATAGATAAGGACTCAACATAAAATTATATTTGACCTAAATACAGAACCCATTTAAAAATACTAGATTAATAGGATCATGACAATTTTAAATTGATCATGGAGTCAAGTGGGATGGCACATCCCATTTCACAATATACCACAAATCATTTATCTTCTTTTATAATATGTATTTTTTATTTTTTTCTTCAACCACGTAACCAACTTTAACTCATGTGACACTTTAGAGTGTCGGCACATATTTATGTACAAAAGTTGAATCCAAAAATTCACACTAAATCCAATGAAAGAGGGAACAAAACCAGTTTGAATTAGATTGGATTTAAGATGTAATTTTGAAAATAAACACAATCCAAATTAAATTAATGTATGAATACTCGTAAGTTTTATTTTGAAAATAGTATATCATTCATGTTTCCACGAGTATATTTTGTAAAATTATCATAATAATTTATTTTTCAATTTTATAACCATCCCAGTTATATTTTATCATTTTAATGTAATTATAAGGGTGTTGATTTTGCATTAGTTGAAAATTTGTTCTTTCTCTACTATGTTTTATTTTTTAATAAAGCTTTTGTGTTTGGTGTTAATAAAGTAATGAAAAACATGCAATAAGATTTATTTATTGTCTCCTAATAATTAAATTGAGAAAACAATAAAACCAATCTTCTCCAATCACCACAATCGATCTAAATCATCTAATTTAATTCAGAAACTACTTAGAGTAAGATCTTACCAAAAAAAGAAAGAAAAAACTACTTGGTTTTAGTTGAAGGAAAAATAAAAAAGTATGTGGGGTAATAACTCTGTAATCTATGTTTTCATTGACGAAATACCTGGGTGAGTTACGTGTAAATCGATATCATAAATAGATCCAATCCACATGCTGCTGCTGCATGATTCATTCACCAACACAAACAACAATCTCAATTCCTCCTTGCCACCACCACTATCTTCCTTTTTATCAATTAGACAAGGTAACTTTTTGGTTTCATCTTCTGTATTTTGCATTTGGTTTGTCATTTGGGTAGGAACTATATGTTTTGGTGTGAAATGTCATAGATCTGTTGGAGATTCAGATTCTTCAATTTGTCTCGTGTCTTGTGCTTGCATGCTTGTATATAACAACCAAAGAATTGATTAATTTAAGTTCCATTAATTACGTCACTTAACTTGATTCTTTTATGATTGAATGTCCCCTGGATCTACAATTTCTGTTTCTTTTTTTTTTCATTTATCACCCAACTGAATGCTGTAGATCTCTCGGTTTCTCTCAAAAAATGTGCACGTATATAATTTATAATTACCTGAAACATTCTATTCTGCGTCATTGTTGTTGTCACAATGCCACCTCACCTAATAGTGTAATCCACAGACACATATATATAAAGGACATGCATATATTTCTGGTCTTTGAATCTTTGAACCGGTAAAAAGCTTTTCAAAGTAATTATGTTGTAATTGTTGTTGTGTTATTTGATTTTGATCTTGCTATAGGGTGCTGAGAGAAAACAAAAATGGTGAAGATTTGTTGCATTGGAGCTGGGTATGTTGGAGGACCCACCATGGCCGTGATTGCATTGAAATGTCCTAAGGTTGTGGTAACTGTGGTGGATATATCTTCCCAGCGAATCAATGGGTGGAACAGCGACCACCTTCCAATCTATGAGCCAGGGCTTGATGATGTGGTGAAGCAGTGCAGGGGGAAGAATCTGTTCTTCAGCACTGATGTGGAGAAACATGTTTCAGAGGCGGATATAGTGTTTGTCTCAGTGAACACCCCAACAAAAACTCATGGTCTTGGAGCTGGCAAAGCAGCTGATTTGACATACTGGGAGAGTGCTGCTAGGATGATTGCTGATGTTTCAAAATCAGACAAAATTGTGGTTGAAAAATCCACTGTCCCAGTGAAGACAGCAGAGGCAATTGAGAGGATCCTGACCCATAACAAAAAAGGCATCAATTTCACCATTCTCTCAAACCCAGAATTTCTTGCTGAGGGCACAGCAATTGAAGACCTATTCCATCCAGATAGAGTCCTCATTGGAGGGAGGGAGACCCCAGAGGGGCAAAAGGCCATTCAAACTCTCAAAGAAGTGTATGCAAATTGGGTTCCTGTGGAGAAAATCCTCTGCACCAATTTGTGGTCTGCTGAGCTCTCAAAGCTTGCTGCCAATGCCTTCCTGGCCCAGAGAATCTCTTCTGTCAATGCCATGTCAGCACTCTGTGAGGCAACTGGTGCTGATGTGACACAGGTGTCCCATTCAATTGGGACAGACTCAAGGATTGGACCAAAGTTCCTGAATGCCAGTGTTGGCTTTGGTGGCTCTTGCTTTCAGAAGGACATAATGAACTTGGTGTACATCTGTGAGTGTAATGGCCTTCCTGAGGTGGCAAATTACTGGAAGCAAGTCGTTAAGGTGAATGACTACCAAAAAACAAGGTTTGTGAACCGTGTGGTGTCCTCAATGTTCAACACAATTTCAGCAAAGAAGATTGCTATTTTTGGTTTTGCTTTCAAGAAGGACACAGGTGACACAAGGGAAACCCCAGCCATTGATGTGTGCAAGGGGCTATTGGGAGACAAGGCTAAGTTGAGCATATATGACCCTCAGGTTACTGAAGAACAAATCACAAAGGACCTTTCAATGAGGAAGTTTGATAAGGACCACCCCGCTCATCTTCAACCACCAAGCCCCACTTCCATAAAGCAAGTATCTGTGGTTTGGGATGCTTATGAGGCAGTGAAGGAGGCACATGGTATTTGCATTATGACTGAGTGGGATGAGTTCAAGAAACTTGATTACAAAAAAGTTTATGACAGCATGCAGAAGCCAGCTTTTATATTTGATGGCAGGAATGTTGTGGATGTTCAAAAGGTCAGGGAAATTGGCTTCATAGTTTACTCCATTGGCAAGCCTCTGGATCCATGGCTCAAGGACATGCCTGCAGTGGTGGCTTAAAAGGAAATGCACTTTCTGCACACAATGTTTCCATCCTATTCTCATTCTTATAATTGCATATCTCTTCCTCTTGTTTATTTATACTATTGTTTTACAATATTCTGTGGCACTCTGGTGTCAATTCTTGTGCTTTTAGCTAGCTTAAAAATCCCTATTTCTTGACATGTCTTTTATGCAATAAACTAGCATGGGACCCTGACTATTACACAGGGTTAATTGCAATGTTGATTCTAAACTTGTTCTGTTGTTAATCTTCAGAAAAAATTAAACTGTGACACAAGTTAAACAATTTCATGATTATCCAAGTTAATATGCATCCTTGCTATTTGAGATCTGTTAGATATATTAAGTTTGAGTGGAAAGTGTTAATTTAATAAATTAAAGTCTGGATTATAATCCTATATCTTTTATAATTATTACTATCTTTAAAGATAGTTATTAAGAAAAATTATTTAGGAATGAAATTAAATATTTTATTATAAATTTTAGCTTATTTAAAGTATGTCAATTTATTCACAAATAAGTGGATATCGGGTGTATTAATATAACAATCATGATTTAGATAAAAGAAAAAAGTATTATTATTATTATTATTATTATTATTTTTATTATTATTATTATATTAATAATGAAATTGTTGAATGAAAGTATAAAATAAAAAAGATTGTTAATAAAATTTTTTAATTAAAAGAAAATTTATATAAATATTTTTTATCAATTTTTAAATAATGTCTGAAATTTATAATAAAATAAATATTTTTATTTTAAGTAAAAATATTTCTGTAAACATATTTTAAAGGGTCAAAAGTTATTTATTTTTAAATGTTAATTTGATTTTTTTTTTACAATTTCTACTTTGGTCCTTTTAAAAAATATTATTTTATCTTTTATTTAAAAAAATGAATAATCATGTCCTTTCATCATATTAAAATTAAAATTATTAATGTTTTGGATTTAAAAATAAATTCTAAAAGAAGAAGAGATAAAAACAAAAACGGAGTAGGGAAAGAGAAGCTATAAAGGATAAGAAGGAGGAAAAGAAAGAACACGAAGAAAAAGACGAAAATTAAAATATCTTATTCGTAATTATTATTACGTAGAAAACAAACATGGCAATATTTCATTTGTCGTTCTTGTTTCTCTTAAACTTCTTAAAAATCAAATTTTTAAAATCTCTTAATTCTAAAAAGTCTAAATCCCTAATTTACATAGTAATCTTTGTGCAAGAAAGAGGGAGAAAATAGTGTAGAAGTCAAATAGAGGATATAAATTTGGAAAAATTAAAATTTTGAGGATAAGTATCACTATATTTACTTTTATACTTTTCACATTGCTTCCATTTTAAACTTTAGTAATATAGTTCATTATAATATTTAATTTAAGTGTTTTTTATTCTCTATTATAATATTAAAAAAAACAGTTAAAACAATAAATTGATATTTGAATCGATTCTCAATTAAACCCAGTTATGTACTTCAGTTTTTATAACCATGATATAAAAATATGAAAAAATTGGAAATATAAAAAACCTAATTACATATATTTAAAAAATAAATAATCAAATTAATAATTTGAAGGAAAATCAAAAGAATAAGAAATTAAATGTGATAAAATATTCTAGTTTAATATATTTTATAGATTATATTGATTTTGATTTTGATTTATATGAATGAGGTCTTAAATAATTTTGAAATCTTTTTTCAAAATATAATTTATATAAAGAAACTTCAATCCAACAATGAATTTGAAAAATATTATTTTAATTACAAAGTTTTGAATGATGTAACTACGTGGTTAAAAATACGAGTGTTTTTTCATTTCCATAATTAAATACGATGTTAATTTTATTTTTTTTCTTATTCTCCCCGAATGTAATTTAAGTTAAAATTGTTATCGTTCTTGAAAAATACAGGTGTTGATATATTTAGTTATAAGAAATTTCTACACATATAATTTTTAAAAATTTGTTAATAATAATAACGTTGATAAATTCAAAAACTCATTTACACCAAAACTATTAAGATAAAGATATTTGATTAGCTAAATTATAGATTTATATAGTCCTATAAAAACTCATTTACACCAAAATTATTAGGATAAAGATATTTGATTAGCTAAATTATAGATTTATATAAGTGGTACAAAATATTGTATAATCGAACTTCCTTTATTTAGTCCTCGATTTGTTAGAGTAAAATACTATAAGATTATAGTATTTGTGTACAAAAATAATATGAATAAAATTATAGAATGAATTCTATGTTTTTCAATTTGGTACTAGAACTTATAATTTTTTTCTTTTTCTTTCTAAATCCTTGGAGATCTTAACTGGAGAAATGACAGAAAAACTAATTCCGGTGGTTGTTCAATCTGAAGGTGTCTTCAACGTAGACATCATCCTAAATAAATCTAATTATGACGTATGGTCACAACTAATGGAGATACACATTGCAGAGAGGGAAAAATTGTCCTACATCCGTGTGAAGGTGAAACCGAGTCACAATCGAATCATGACGCTTGGGCTGTTACTCTTAAGTAAAAAGAGTTGCGCGCTATAGCTTTTGGCCTAGTGGTAAGCGTTCGATCCTAACATCCGTGTGAAGGTGAAGCCTCCAACAGAGAAAGATGAGGGATATGAAAAATGGTATGATGAAAACCAAGAAGTGAAAATATGGCTACTGATGTCCATGAAGCCAGAAATCATGAAAAGGTACATTCGTTTACCCACTGCCCTCGATATTTGGAATATTTTTTCAAATGTGTTTTATGATGGAAGTGATGAGCTATATGTATTTGCCCTGAATCAAAGGGCATTCACTGCAAAACAAAATAATAGAACCTTAACTGAATATTATGAGGAACTGGTTGAGATTTTTAGGGAATTGGACCATCGTGACAAAGTAGTCATGAAGGACCCTGAGGATGTGAAGTCATATCAGAAGTTCATTGAAAGATTAAGGGTGCATTTATTCCTTGTTGGACTAGATGATGATTTTGAGCAAGTTCGTGGAGAAATCTTGCGCAAGAAGTGATACCTGATTTAGAAGAATGTTATGCATTGATCCAAGGAGAGACAGTCCGGTGAACAACGTTGAAAACAGAATATATGATGTCTGATTCCACAGCTATGATGACAAAGAAACAACCAGCAAATCATTACAGCAAATTGAAACAATCAAAAGATTTTGAAAAAGGTAATTACAAGTGTACTCAGTGTAATAAGGATAGACACACCAATGAACGATGCTATGAAATCATAGGATACCCCGAGTGGTGGGATCACAGTTGAGCATCGAAGAAGAATTCAAAAAGAAATTCAATTGTTGTTGTTGTAACTGTCATTGATAAAGAGGACGACAAAGACATGATGTTTGCTACAATCTCATGTAGTGATGATTCCAATGGTAAGACTTTAATACGCACAACTACCGTTCTAAATAATGCATGAATAATTGATTCTGCGTGTTCTGATCATGTGACTTTTGATGTTAGATAAATTAAAAATCTTAAACCTTCCTCACAAAAAAGTATTTCCACAGCCAATGGTAGTAAATCCACTATCATTGAAGAAGGAACTGTTTCTATTTCAAACAATTTGATCCTTGATACTGTCCTTGTTGTTCTTTCTCTTAAATATAACCTATTGTCAGTCTCGCAAATAACTAAAGATCTTTTATGTGTTGTAATTTTTGGGTCTGACTCTTGTATTTTTAAGGACATTCAAACAAGGAATACGATTGGTTGTGGTATTAGGCGAGAAAGGTTGTATTACCTGAACCTGACAGAAAAAGATTCAAAGAGACTTGGTCAAGTACTAGCAACAAAATGGTATCAAGAAGTAAAAAAATGTGAGGATATTTGGTTATGGCATAAGCGTCTAAGACATGTATCTTTTGGTTACATAAAGAAATCATTTCCAAATGTATTTGACCAAGTAGACACTTCAACTTTTTATTGTGATGTTTGTAAGCTTGCAAAGAGTCACAAAACATGTTTTTCTTTAATTTCAAATAAAATTTCTCTTCCTTTTATGATCATTCACTCTGATGTATATGGTCCATCTAAGATTACAATGTTAGGTGGTTCAACGTGGTTTGTAACATTTATTGATGATTGTACTCGAATGACTTGGTTATGTTTGATGAAGTCTAAAAGTGAAGTTGGAGGACTATTTCAAAAATTTTGCAAAATGATTGAGACACAGTACAAAGCACAAGTTCAGGTACTGCGCAGTGACAACAGAAGAGAATATATGCAATCAAAACTTCAACATTTTTTAGTAGCCAAAGGAATTGTTCATCAGAGATCTTGTCCAAATACTCCACAACATAATGGGGTGACAGAATGAAAGAACCATCATCTATAGGAGGTGATCCGAGCTAAACTGATTGGAGCTCACATGCCAGCAATATATTGGGGAGAAACTCTCACATATGCAGTATACACTATCAAATGAACATCGTCCAGGTCTCTTGAGTATAAAAAACTTCTTCAATCACTTATAGATATAGTAGTGAGTCTTAAAATTGTTGAACTAACACATAGAGTTTTTGGTTGTATTGTTTATGTTCACTTACACAAGAATCAGAGAAGTAAGTTGTCTCCTAGAGCTGAAAGGTGTGTGTTCCTTGGTTATGAGGATCACCAGAAAGGATATTGGTGTTACAATTCACAAACCAAGCAAATGTTTACTACTATAGATGTAGTTTTTCATGAAATTTAGATATATTTTTCCCCCAAGTCTGAAATTCAGGGGGAGAATTATGATGAAGTTCAGACTTTTGTTCCTCAAGAAATTGATATTGAGGTCAGATTGGAGAAAGAAAGTTACAAAGTTGTATTATGAGATGATAAAAGTGTGCAATAATGTGATGATCAACAACCATATAATGAGGAAGATTTTGAGCATGTCGAGATTGAAAATTTGTTTGTTGATGATAGACCACATCAATCGTCCCCTCAAGAACCTAATACAGAAAAAAGAATTCTGCCAGATCGTATCACTAGAGGTATCCCTAAGCCTACTTATGATCCTAATCTCATCATTAAGACAAGATATCCTATGAGTAATTATATTTGTAACCAGAATTTTTCTAACTCAAATATCACATTTATAAGTTAATTATCTACTGTATTTATTCCTAACAGTAAGCAGGAAGTTTTAGCTGACTCCAGGTAGAAGGATGTTATGAATGAGGAGATGAGATCCTTGCAAAGAAATAAAATATGGGAATTGGTAGATTACCCAGTTGGAAAGAAACCAATAGGATGCCGATGGATGTATACTGTGAAATTTAATACAGATGGCACAATCGAGAGATTCAAAGCTAGATTAGTGGCAAAGGGGTACACTCAAACATATGGAATAGATTACACTGAAACGTTTGTTCCCGTAGTGAAAATTAGTACAGTTCGAGTATTATTATTTCTAGTTGTAAACCTTGATTGGTCCTTACAACAATTTGACGTAAAAAATGTCTTCTTACACGGGGAATTGTCTGAAGAAGTTTATATGGAACTACCAAAAGGATGTGGGATCCTGAATACACATAACAAGAAGGTGTGCAAGTTGAAGAAGTTATTGTATGAACTAAAACAATTTCCACGAGCATGGTTTGGTAGATTCACCAAGTCAATGTTTGCTTTTGGATATCAACCGTGCAACCAAGATCATACCTTGTTTCTAAAGAAAAAGGAAGAAAATATTATAATTCTTATTGTCTATGTTGATGACATGATAGTTACAAGGAAACAATCTAAATGAACGCAATACATTGAAGAAGTACTTGGCAAAGGAATTCAAGATGAAGGTCTTAGTCCTTTGAAGTATTTTCTTGGAATTGAGGTCTCAAGATCAAAGTCAAGTATTTTTCTCTCGCAACGAAAGTATACATTGGATTTACTGAAAGAAACTGGAATGACATCATGCAAACCAGCAATTTCTCCAATTGAAGGGGGATTGAAGTTGTGCATTGAAAAAGATCAAACTCCAACTAACAAGGGAAGATATCAGAGACTTGTAGGAAGATTGATGTATCTCTCACACATGGATGTTGTTATATGGATTTTAAAGTACATAAAAGTTGCTCCTGGAAAAGAAGTTATGTTTAAGAAGAACTCCAACTATAAGGATATGATGGTTTATACTGATGCAGATTGGGCAGATGCTCTTGATGATAGAAGATCAACCTCTGGATACTTTACATTTGTAGGAGGTAATATTGCTACATAGAAAAGCAAGAAGCAAAAAGTTGTAGCTATATCCAGTGCAGAAGCTGAACTTAGAGGAATGGTTCTTGGACTTTGTGAAGGCTTGTGACTCAGACTACTTTTCCAAGATTTAAGGTATACACATACACATCTCATTCAATTGTATTATGATAATAAAGCTGCATGCGACATTGCTCAACAATCTTGTCCAACATGATCAGATGAAACATGTGGAAGTTGATAGATTTTTCATCAAGGAAAAACTTGATAAAAATATTCTGAAATTGCTAAATATTCTATCTGAAGATCAGTTGACAAATATACCAAAACTGTGATAAGTCAGATTTTTAAGAGATTATTAGACAAGTTGGGAATGTATGACATCCATTTACCAACTTGAGGGAGAGTATTGAGATAAAGATATTTGATTAGCTAAATTATAGGTTTGTATAACAATACAAAACATTGTATAATCAGAAATTTCTTTATTTAATTTTGATTTATTAGAGTAAAATATTATAAGATGAAAATGTCTATATATAAAAATAATATAAACAAAATTATAAAATAAAATTTATGTTTTTTAATTCAAACTAAACAAAATTCATAATATAACATTTAATATGAAAGGTATCGTATGATTGAGACATGGTGTGGCTATAGAGAGGAGTGGAAATTGAAAACGACGCTGTTTTATCATTATTTTATTTGCAAATTGTGATTCACACGGCACCCTCTTCCTCCTCCACCTGCTCATCAAATTCAGATTTCAGAGAGAAAGAGAGTGAAAGTGCAGTGCAGTGATGGCGGGAGCAACGAGCCTGAACCTGTGGGGCGTACTCTCGGAATCGAAACGCATAGTCAACGCCCACTCCCGCCACTTCCTGGCCCTCTCCGTCATCTTCCTCCTCCCTCTCTCCTTCTCCATCATCGTCTCCCCCTTCCTCTTCCCTCTCTTATACCCTCACCATACCCAAACCCTCCAACTACAATCCAAAACCCTCACCCTAACACCATTCTCCATCCCCCTCCTCCTCTTCCTCCTCCCCCTCCCCCTCTTCTCCCTCTGTGCCCTGGCATCCATCACCCACAGCGTCTTCCACGGCTTCTTCGGCCGCCCCGTCAAACTCCCCTCCGCCCTCCTCTCCATCCCCGCCTCCCTCCCCCGCCTCCTCGCCACCACCTTCCTCTCCCACCTCATCCTCTTCTCCCTCTCCCTTCCCCTCCCCCTCCTCCTCCGCCGCCTCTCCCTTTCCTCCCCTGTCTTCCTCGCCGTCTCAACCCTCTTCCTCCTTGCCCTCCTCTTCTCCCTACTCTACCTCCGCGTCTGCTGGTCCCTCGCCCCTGTCATCGTTGTCGTGGAGTCCACCTGGGGCCTCCAGCCCCTTCGCCGAAGCGCCTCTCTCATCAACGGGATGACCCCTGTAGCCGCCTCTTCCTTCCTCTTCTTCGCCTCCCTTCAGGCCTTCCTCCTCTGGACCGCCCTACTTGTGGACTCCGATGGCTGGGCCTGGAATGACTGGGCCTTCGTCACCCAGATCGTCCTTACCTCCACTCTCCTCATGATCCTCATGCTCTACAGCGCCGCTGCCGACACCGTCCTCTACATGTACTGCAAGGCCGTTCACGGCGAGCTCGCCGTGGACATCGCCCAGGAGTTCGCCTGGCAGTACGTTTGCTTGCCCTTCGATGACGGCAAGGTTCCTCACGTTGTTTCGGTTGTTCATGTGTAATGAATGTAGCGTCCCAGGTTGGTCAAAAGTTACTTTTGTAACATAGCCTGTGTATCTTCTCTCTTGATACAGTACATTGCTGTTGTAAATTGCGCTGCCATTATGGTTAAGTAGAGGCTATGAAACTTGTGATTGCCAAATGTATATATTTTGGTGTTTATTTCTTTCGGTTGAAGCTGCAAATTGATGGCGGTTATTGTTTGATTAAATGAATGAACGTTCTTCTAAGTTGTAGTTAAACGATTGTGCTTAAGGTCCGATCATGCGGTGTTAAAATCAGAAGTTATGATTGGAATCATTTTTTGTTTATTAGAGTTAAGCTGAATGCGAGATGTAACAGTAGGTTTGGAATTATAAATGTGTAGTGCAATCAATCTCATCTTTTGGTTTTAGACTACAGTGGAATCAATTAGGATGATGTTTGGACCATGGACAATCAAGATTATAAGTCAAGCTAATCAGTTTGCATATCATATTGCTAGCATGGCCTCGGGAATAGAAGTGATGTCATAATTTTACACAAGGTCTTCGTAGTCAGGTAAAGATAATTGTATATGAAAATGGTCTTGGAAAGTCTGTTGTGCTTGTCTGTCTATGTTTATCTTTGTTATGTTCGAAACTGGTGCCATTTTTCCATCAATGTTTTGGGAAGTTAAAATAAAATATCAGAAGTGGAGATCAGGATATCAGATGAAGATAGTATATATAAGCAATGAAACTAGTTACCTTTTTTTTTTGTTAGATTCTTTTTGAAAGGGGATCTTTAAACTAAGCTTGCTTACATTTGCAAATATATACCCTCTCTTGGCTTAATTTATCTTGTTTCTACTGATTCAAAAATTCATCCTTTGTTGAAGTCGAACTTTCAGATTTGATCCACATATGTTGTATATATATAGTTAATATTTGCTTCTAAAGAGAGATCACATCAATGCACTAAAAAACATGACTATATATATATATATATATATATATATATATATATATATTGTGTGGGTGGGTGGTTAATTTGATTTTAAAACGGTTAAAAGTAATTAGAAAACTATACATTATTATTGATTAGTGATATATGTTTATGAGGATCATCAGCTTATTGAAATATTTAATACTGGTTAACTTTGCTTTATAAGGGGTTAATGACACCATGTCATTAATTTTGTATTATTAAGTTGTACGTGCTTACCTACATATGAAAATAATTTTGTTTCTCAAAGTATTATCTTTCTCCCATGTTTACAGGTTAAACTTTTTTGTAAACCGATGAAAATCAATAATAAATGTGCCTTTTATTGAAATGATTTTACTAAAACAATTTCATCCTATTAATTAATGTATTATTTTGTTTTTTATAAATACAACTATTAATATAATCGATTTGGGAATGAATAAAGAAATAAAATTAATAGTTTTCTTTTGACAATTGAGAATATCAATTTAAAATTTTCATTTACGTTAGTAGAGTAAATAAAATATGGATGTATTAACTATTGACGTGATTAATAATATCATGATCAATTACAAGGTCTAAGGGCAGTGTAACAAATTTAAGAATATTTACACACAACAACATTAGGGGATAGATGTTGAGATACATTTTCAGATGTACAAACAACACACTACTCTAAACCATGTTTACTTCCACGAAACCATAAAACTGTAACATTAAAAGAGAACCTCTTCTTTATTGGTGAAGTTACTAACATCCTCATTTTTATTGCTTGTTTGGGCTGTTTAAGTCTCTTTTAATCCAAGATCTATTTTACTTTGAACATGATGGCCTTCAACTCATTCGAGACAAAGCAAAGCTCGTTGGAGAATATGAACTGAAGAGCTGTTAACCAGAGCCCCCTCGGACAGTCGTGTAAATAGAAATTATGCACGAAGATACAACCAAAAGTAACAGTTGTAACATTATGGAGTTTTGGAGGTAGAGAGGATAAATCTCTTCTAAGATAGGCAACTTCGTAAAAATAGCAGGGCATTCTACACAGACCAACCATGACTATAACTGGAGAAAAAAATGTATGAAATAGTTACCACACTTCACAAACTGCTAGAACGGTTTAGTTACTATCAACATGAAACTTTGTACATTGGTTCCCACATGATTGAAAGTCCAAAATTTGCGAGCATCATCTAAATTAGTTCAAGTACCTCTAGCTCACATGTCAAAGAATGAACGTTTTCAATCAAATCGTCAGAAAAATAGCTATAACTAAGTTGGTCACAAATTTCTACTATGACCGACAATACTGGATGATGATTCGGGCTTTTTCACCCAGATCAGCTCTGAAGAATATTACTCCAATTTGTAGTTCTCTGAACAATCCTACTAGGAACAATCCGATCACTGTCTTCCCCGCCAGAAGCCTCGTAACCATCACTAGTTGAACTTGACAGAGGAATTTCTTTCAGAGTTGCAGCAGCACCAGCAGCTGAAGGGCCTGCAAGCTGTCTTGCTTTTTCAGTACCCGAAGAGGACACCCCATAAGGGCGAATATCAGGAGAGTCTAAACTGCTTTCAGGTGATGAAGGAACAATTCCAGCTGAGCTTGACATTGGTTGACTTATTTTAAATGCACTGCGCGCTTCAAACGGTAGAGGGGCAAACCTAGACATCCCACTCAAAACTTTATCAGTATTACTGGCAGAAACTATTGTTATGGACTCCATAGACAAGTCGGGAAGATGAACCCGCTTGCTAGCTCTCTTCTTATTGTTCTCAATTCTGGGAACCATTTTTCGGCCACTGCTACCAAAACTGCCCTCTGCTTCCAGCTTGATAACTTCATCTTGTCTCGTTACAGGCTGCAGAACTTTGGACTTTCTTCTTGCTTCTGCAGCAGCCTTGGAAGTTTCTTCAGCATTTAAGCGTGCCAATGTCCAAGGACTAATTTTGACTGTTCCAGGATTCTTTTTCTTCACTGGATTTTCTCTCATTGTCTTCTTTCCCAGTGAACTTACAGAACCTGTTTCGGGGGGCACCACATCAAACTACAACCGATAACACCCCATCCCCCGAGAGAAGGAAAAAACGAAATAGCTGGTCCTCAGTAAGCAAATGAAAGAAAGAACATAAAAATTAAAATACTATTAACAATCTAAAAACAACTAAATAACATAGCAGATTAGCACTCTTTTGAAAGGAAGAAAGTCCTATGATCAAGCTTAATAGTACATAAATTTAGTTTTCCAGTGGGTGAAAGGTTTGCACTCATGTTGTGCATGATATGCACACTACCAAAAACCATCCAAGAAGCTACGATAACTTCTGAAGTTGATATTTAATACTACTCTTGACAAGTTTTCAATTATAGAATACATAATAAAGATGTAAGGAACATCAATATATAATAAAACAAGTACAAATTGAAAAAAAGTTACCTGATCTTCAAGTAACAGGCGTGGGGGGGTGCACCACGCACCTCGGTGTAAATTACTGAAGGAGCTTGCGCTGCTCAATCCAGTTAGTGAGCTAACAGTTGACATTTGGGGACTTTGCTGACCTCCATTTCCTAGCTGCTCCTGCTCCCTCATAGCTATGATGTAATCATACGTGCTGAGTCCCTGAACCACTCAGCAATAACTATAATAATTCTTTGATTGTAGATAAATAGATTGATAATATTTAGCATTAATAAGTGTTCGGTAAAATTATATTAAAAAGATAATAAGATAATGATTAAATAAGATAATAAAAAGGTAATTAGTTTAAGAGTTTATTGGGATAAAATTAAAAGATAATTAGGAGTTTGTTGGGACATTTTGATATTGATAATATCCTGAGTGGTTATTATTTAATTTTGAGAGGATTATGATCTTTGTGGTAGTATATAAATACATCATTGTATTCCTTATTTAAGGTATCACAAAGAATCAATAAAATATAGTTTTACAGTTTCGGAGAAATTTTTTGTTATCAAATTGGTATCAAGATTTAGGGATTTTGAGAAGAACTAGGGTTCTTCAGAAGAGTCAAAGCAAGGGTTTGAGTGTCAAGAAGAGAATGCGAATGATTGTTCTAGCAAGTGTTGTTGCAATTGTGTCCTGACTGACCAAGAACGTCAACTATGATAAATGGAATACCTAAATGAAGGCTCTCCTTAAAGCCCAAGGTTGGCAGATGGTGGAGGAAGGTTTTAAACAACCACATACCACTGAAAAATTGACGATCAATGAACTTAAGGAGTTAGAGAAGAAACGTGAAAAAGGCAGTGCAACTCTATTTTTGTTGTTTCGAGTTGTAAAAGATTCTGACTTTGAGAAGATTGTAGAAGCTACAACGACATCCGATACATGGAACATGTTGAAGAAGGAGCACAAGAAAGATGACTGAGTCAGACAAATTCGACGTCAGACACTACGAAGCGAGATGGAGAGCATGGAGATGAAGCGGTTGGAAAAAGTTTCTGAATATGTCTTGCATGTTGAAAACGTGGCAAAACAACTTAATCAAAACGGAGGGGTATTTTCCACATAATAGATCACTGAAAAGATTTTGAGGTCATTAACAAAATCCTTTAACAACGTGGTGTGTGTGATACAACAAGCGAAGGACTTGTCCGAGCTTTCAATAAAAGAATTGATCGGATCTCTTGAAGCCTATGAACACCGAATGGAGAAAGATAAGAAGGACAATAACAACAGACGGAGGAGAAGGCTTTCTATTATCAGAATAATAGAGGAAGAAGACGTAATGGTCGGTCCCGAGGTGTACAATTTGGCCAAGGAGGTCGAGGCAGATTCGGTGGCCAAGTTGACGAGAAGGAAGAGGGGGCGCAACAAAACTGGCAAGGAAAAGGACGTGGTCCGAGAGGAGGTCAGTCAATGAACCAGTCAAATGTCGAGTGTTTCAAGTGTGGTCACTATACCAAAGATTACTACTCGAGAAAATATTTTAATTGTGAAAAAAAGGGGAGATTGGGAGGTCGAGAGATCAGTTAAGCCGATCTCAATTTTTATTGCAGAAAAATTTAATTTTACAGGGGAGTTTTGTTGGGTAAAATTAAATTAAAAAGACAATAAGAAGATCATGATTAAAAAAGATAATAAGAAGATAATGATTAAAAAAGATGATAAGAAGATATTTAATTTAAGAGTTTATTGGGATAAAATTAAAAGATAATTAGGAGTTTGTTGGAACATTTTGATATTGATAATATCTTGGGTGATTATTATTTGATTTTGAGAAGACAAGATTATGATTTTGTGGCAGTATATATATACACACCATTGTATTGCTCATTTAAGGTATGACAAAGAATCAATAATATACAGTTTTACCGTTTTAAAGAAATTCTTTGCCATCAATAATGTCACTGTCATTAACTAAGAATTTAAGACAAAAACTTGCATCTTCTCCCAAGGAAAACGTTTTATTGCCTACTAGGAACTAAAAGGTGAAAGACTTGTCAATCTTTGTATATACATGAAGTGTCTAGACTAGACCATGAACAACCAACACATGGCCAGTTTAAATAGAAATATTTACTTGACCAAGGATTTATGTAATTATTTATTGTTTGGTTTTCAGTTAGAAAAAGAGCCTAAAAGACGTTTGGCCCAACACAGAAAGATAAAAAAAATTGTTTCAGTTTTCTCCTTTGGAAAATAAATGAAGTGTGATCCAGGTAATCAACATACAAAACAACATTCAACCTTACCTTTTTAATGAGGAGGATATGAAAGAAGAAAAGCTGAACAACTGGTAAGGTAGCAATGATTGCAAGAATGGTGCAGATAGACTGAAAAACAATCACAAGTGAAAATAAGAATAGCTGCATCTGGAAATAGCTCAGATTTTTCATCAAATAAGATGTCAATCAAAAGGAGCAAAAATATGTTCATTTATCAGAAGAATATATAAATAACCATTACTAGAGAAATATAGTAATCACATAAGAAGGAGGGGGAGAATGCTGACCACCACAAGAACAAATGGAACCAGAGAGAAACTGGTTCCCAACTTGGAGGATATATCCACAGAAAATTGCTTCCTCTTGACAAAACAGCAGATAAGCACAAGAATCCCAGTCAACCATTGAAGAATAAACTGCAATCTCAAGCCCAAGGTGCAAAAATCATGTATAGACCTGTTATTAGTTAGTCAAAATGAAAGTAACCAGGAAAGAGAAATCCATACTTGTGATGCTCTATAGTTTATGGCATGTTGCAACAATTATCAAGACAGGTTTGGAATGGTTCCAAGAGAAAAAGGAAAGAATTGACACTTTATAGGGAGAAAAATAGAATCAGAAAATATGAAAGTCTTTTTTGGCTATAGAGATTGATTTCCAAATGCTGATGATTTACAATTCTACTAATTTTCAACCATGTGAATGTAAGTACGGATAGATGGCCAATATTGCTTACCAAGAGCATAGCAGCAACCATGAGTGCGAAAAATTGTCGATAGTTTTTTTTTCCTATACAGTTGTTAAGCCACTGCAAAACCAAAGAACCACAAGTCCTTCGTAACATACCTCAAGTGATAACCAAAGAAATAGTGAGATATATACTCGTACTCGGCAATGATGATCAAAGTGATCCACACACTTGTCACAAACTCTACAGTGCTTGCTGTACTTGGAAACCTACATCAATGCCATGCTTAAGTGGTATATCATCTAAGCAATGCAGAGTAAGTATGAGTTTGTAACAGAAGGTAATTGTGAAGTTTTCCATGCACTATGCATCTTTTACCTCCACATATCATATTAAGGAATGAACTCCAACAGTAATTTTAAAGGGACAATACGTTTCTAGTTCAAAAACTTCTACGCACCTCAACTTCACACAAACTGCAATAGAACATACCATCTTCACTTGTTTGTTTCTCTGAAGATTTCTCAGTTAAACTTGAGCAGCTGCAGATATAAGCACAAGGGGAAGAAACCAAGAGGATACAGGATGAGCATGATGATGTACTCTTCTCCACTGAAGTTGAAGCATTTTCCGAAGTTCCTTTTGTTCCCAATGCCTCCTTATCCACATAATTAGCTCCATCTGTTGATGCATTTGCTTCATGCATTGACAAAGTTGATTCTTCCCCTAATTTAGAATTCTTTACTTCAGAAAGCTTTTCATTGTCTGGGATTTTAAGATACTTTTTGGACTTAAAAACTCCTGGATCTGCTGGATCTGATGCTGCACACCAAATGTACAGTCCAAAGACACTAGTAATCTGGAAAAAGAGGAAATATCATTAAATGATAATGTCTTTCATAGCGAAGTAAAATACCTAGCCCTGGGAGAGTCCTATATAGAAGTGGTAGCCAAAATAGCTAACAAAAGGGGTGAAAATCAGAGAATATAAAATGTATATCTGCATACATAGATATTTCTAACACTAGATGATATTGTGCTCCGGAGAATTGTGAGAGCATAAAACTAAAGTATTGAACAATATATGGAGTTTAATAAGTTTTTATATGTACGAAATAAATTGATAATTCACTTCATATATATACATAGACTACCACATTTACATGATAAATAATCCAAAGAATTAAAAAAAAAAATATATCCTTCAAATGGAGTAGTTCACACATGTTCCGTGATGGCTACTACTTGTCAGAACTCGGAAGTATGCGCTTAAGATGAATGTAAAATGGACGAGGGAAAGAGATCTAAGAGGTCACAACAAGCAACCAGATAGCCCTTATCATGTAAAGTGACAACTCCATAGAACCCTTCGCTGAACTACACGACAATCTTAACAGAATGGTAGATCATATAATAAAAAGGAACCCAAAAACTTAATCCGACGTCAGATTTACAAAAGAAACCAAACACAAGAATCTGAGAGCAAAAATTCACAGATCTCACTCATTCCACAAACCAGCTTAGAAAGCAGAAAATGAGTATATTATATTTAAAGAAGGCAGAGATATAGGACGATGTCTTACCAGTGGTGAGTAAAAGCCAATAACAATGTACTGATATGTCTTATTTCCAACAAAAGGAGCGAAGAACACGTAGAAGGCAAAACCCAGAGCCAAAAACACAGCACAAGCCACCACCTTCACGAATATTTTCCATAATGAATAACAAGGAAAAAAACTTGTACAGAAAATAATCAAAAACTTACAAGTACCTGAAGAGGGTGGTAAGGTAACTGCCATCCATGTTTCCTCATAGTTTTGTATTTTGAAGTTCAACTCAAAACGTTTTAAGGAAAAAACACAAAGTACCAAAAAGAACAAGAGCACAGAACACAGAGAGCACTAGAGAGAAGATGAACAACCAGGGATGGTTACATTTGTTTCTTTGCCAACATTTTCACCTCATTTTTTGAAGTGAAGGAAGGAAATGAAAAATCAGAGATTTTTGGTGAAGGACAAAGAAAAAGAAGGAGATGGGCATGACATGTTGGTTGAAGCAGATAGAAAGAGATGTGAAGTGAGAGAGAGAGAATTGAATTAGGATAATGGTGGTGGGTGTGAAGTGTGTATTGAGGAAAGCTTTTTCTTTTTGTCTTTGTCTGGTTTCAAAGAATGTTAAAGTGACCAATACTGGACTAAGGTTGTGGTCTTGTTTGGGTTTTGGTGTGTGGTTTGTTACAAAAACCTTTTTTACAACTCATCAAGTTGGCAGAAAGTTAAGCGTTTTAAGTTTTAAAAAATCAAGTTTGTAAGAGTTTAATTTTCTGGCTGTTTCTAAAAAAATAAAAATTTATTTTGATGATTGATTTTTGCTCTTTAGAATATTACAATAATTGGTGTGGTGATTTCTGATTATAGAAATATCTTGGTTAAAAAAACTTTTTACTTGATCTGATTATGAAAAATACCTTTTTACTTTTTGGTTTCTCTCTGATGCTACCTGCACCACTGCTGCAAACTGCGTTTACCTTTCTGAATTGGCAAAATCATGTCTCACTAAAACACGGGTACACCTAGCAGCAGCATCTCTGACTACTTAACTCTAATAGAAACTCCTTTTTTTATGATCTTTTAATTACATTTTACTTTTTATTAAAAAAAATTATCTTGTACTAAACTTCCATATTTGATCAAATTATATCAAAATACTTTAACGATAATTTTTCAAAAGATCTAGATGATATCTTAATTGTTGTTTCTCTTAAGTTATGCTATTATTTAGTTTTTAAAATTGTAATAATTTATTAAATTAATAAAATAATTCTTAAAATTATATATCATAATTAATTTAGTTCATCAAAATCGTAATGATAAATAAAATGAAAATATAATTTTAAAAATTATAATTATAACTATAATTATTAATTAATTTATTCCTTAAATTTGTAATAATAGAACAATTTAAATCTAGCTATAAAAATTTAATTGCTCCTGTTTTTCTCTTGAATGTATTAGTAAATTAAAAATGTTTGAGTGCTTTTATTCTAATTATGAGAGATCAATATGTCTCACTATTACAAAATAAAAAAAAATGACTGATAATTTTAAGAATTATTTGCTATTTTATTTATTTCTGATCAATTTAACTATCCGTTACTATTTCAAAGACGGTGAAAGGACTAATATATTTCGATGGATAAAATTGAAAGTTTAATTATTATTTTTTATATTTAATGATATTTTTAATTACTCGTTCAGTCCTTATATTATAATGGTAACGTTTATATAAGACTAAAAAAGAACCAACATTTTATTGATATTCAATAAGCCATAAAAGAATATAAAATTTTATTAAAAAACATTGTTAAGTAAATTGACCTAGTTAATTGAAACTTGATATGCAAAATCTAAAAGAGTTATTGAAAGAAAATTTAAAGATAAAGAATATTTTTCTTAATTTATGTTTTTTAATTCATTTTGTCAAATTTTAGCTTTTTTTTAGATTTGAAAGCTATAAATATATTTTTTAAAATAGATTTAACTTGTTACTTGTTCTACATGGTCAATATTAAAATAAGTTCTTTTACTAAATATTAAAATAAATTATTTTTATTAAATATTTAAAGGGTTGATTTTTGGTAATAGAACTTAGAATCTAGACACTGTGAAATCAATTATTTGTGTTTTAATCAATATCAAAACTAAACATATAAAATAATTAGAAGGCATTAGATTAGAGTTAGATTCGATGTAGTTTAATCCAAAATTATTGGTACATAATTAGTGGCTTAAATTTTATCTTTTATATTTTAATCAAACCAATTTGAAATAAAAATGGATATATGTATAAAATTTCTACTGCTTGAATATATAATTATAAAACAATTTCCTCCTAATTAATCAATTTAAAAATTGAAAAGCCACATTAAAAAATTACATTTCTACAAATATATGATTTAACGACCGTTAAAGAAAATATATAATGACGGTTTCACACTTATTATTATTATTATCCTTGAATAGTGTAAAATTGATAACAAATTTGACCTATTATTAAAAATTATAAATAGGATAATAATTATAAATATAAATATTATCGTATGTCTCATTTCATAGATCTTTACAGTAGATCTTGTTCTGCAACAAATTCAGGTTTCATTTTTTTCTTACTCGGAATACACCTATGAAATAGATTTTGCTCCTCTTCAACAAATTCAAAATGTTCCACTACTTTTCTACTTATAATATATTTTCAGTTAAATATTCTCTAACTTGTCATCTACCTTTGACTTCTCCTTCACCTCATACCCATCATCCACCCCATACTCGTCTTTCATTTTGTACTCGCCTTCAACCTCACACTTATCTTATACGTTAAAGAAATTTATAATGAAGAGGATACTTCGTAAAAGAAAGAGTAAGAGATAGTTGAGGAGAGAAGAGAGGGAGAAGATATGAATTTGCCACATAACTTTAATTAGATATTATGAATGATCCATTTAAAAGGAGAGTTTAACGAGAAGAGGAGAGAAAAAGAAATGAAAATTTAGGCTGTGATGGAGAAATATAATGAGTAAAAGAGAAAATAAAAAAAAAAAAAAAAATACAAAGTACGTATGTTGCAAACCATATCCTAGCAATCAAGATGAATAACCATGTGTTGCAAACCTTATCAAAATTTCATCATAATCCATCAGTGAACAAAACGATAATATAATAATTTTACTAGAGTGTTTAGTAGATAAGCCAAACAAATTTTTCTTCCTTTTCTTATAACAGTTAACAAACTAGGAATTGTAATTTTATTAAGATAATTCACTGAATAAACTAAACAATTTTATTTTCTTTCTCTTTTTTTAAGGCTATAAAATTTATGTTTTCTGTTATAACCTAAAAACTCTCTTTAAGTAAGATAATATGGACTTGATTAATTTAAATTTTTTAGATATACAGTTGGAGTCCAACTTAACAATGACACATATGACGATACATACAATAAAAAAAATAATTATTAAAATATTAAACATATGATATATAACGATTATAAATGAACCATTATTAAAAATTAAAAATATTTTTTTAAATATTATTACAAATTTTTTTAATGATGATTTATATATGATTAATGTTAAAATATGTCATTTTTTATTATTTTTATACTATTGTAATAATTAATATGTGTCGTATTCATTTTAAAAAAATTAGACTGATTTGTATTAAATAACTTATTTTAATATATAAAAATAAGGAAGTTTAGGATAAAAAATTTCCTCCCAAAATTAATATTACATTTTAATATACTAAATTAATAAATCAGTGAAAAAATATAATAACAAAATATTGATAAATAGTTAATATTAGTAAATATGTTTTTTTTTATATTTTTATAATGTTAAAATTAGAATTTGTATACATAAGAGTTTCTTATTTATTATTATTAAAAAAAGGTTAATTTTGATATTCAAAAGTTACATGTTTATATATTCAAACTAAATTTATATACATATACACATTTATTTATTATTTGTGTTGAACCTCCTACTATGCATGATGGGCTTATTTTTTTCTTTGGAAAAATGTAACCTTGACTGTAAGTTTAACGGTATAAATTAACATGATTTAAGAAATAATAGTGAGTGATTTTTAGAGCAACTGATCAAAGAGTATAACGATCAAATAAAATATGAGACTAAAGTTTTTGTTTCTTTTTATTTATTTATTATATTATAGATAATCATTAGAATGAATGAATAAATACAAGATAAAATATATATTTTTACAATAATTATGACATTGTGTTTAATATAAATAAAATATTTTATTTTATTTTTCATATAATATCAATTACTCCATCATCTCCTATACAAGATCCTTGGCTTATTAGGATTAGTTTCTTAGAGGTGCTTGATGAGATGGTAACCAGAGTTACTTAAATTTTGACAAAATTGTTTCCTGAATCACATAGAAGGGTGGGAGAGAATGAAAGAGAAAAAGTGGATTTATTTTATTCTACAGTTTCTTAGAGAATTTTTTTTAGGTAAACTAAATATGAGTTGCTTGATTTAAGTAGAACCTATATTATTTTTAAATGAGTTATTCTTATTGGAGATATCATTAATTTTTAATCATTATCGTTAAAAAATTAGTTAGTTTTATGTCACTTAAACTATTAAGAGATGTGTATAGTTTTAATTATAAAAAAGTTTGATGTTATAAAATATCATGACTAATTGTAGATGTGCTATAACAACAGTAGTTAGGTTCACGAAATTTTACATCAATAAATTTTGAATAATGTGGGTGAAATATTTTCCTAAATATTACTAAATAACACTTAAATATGCACACATGAATATACATATGCATATCACTCAATGACTTCTGTGACATAAAATTAATAACTTCTCTTAATAATTAAAAATTTAATAAAGTAATCAATAATGTATAAAATTAATTATATTAAATTAAAATATTTATCATAATTATTACATGAAAAATATATTTTACTCATACATTTTCTATTACCACATATTTATTTTTCTAAAAATCTCATCCTAATTAATCGAAATTCATTAAATCATTAATTTTGACCGGTCTCACTTTTATATAGGGAGAAAAAATCATTCATAAAAACAAGACTTAGAAAAATTAATGTTTCTATTATATATATATATATATATATATATATATATATATATATATATATATATATATTACATGATTAAAATATAGTTTATTGAGAACAAAATAATAAAGACTGTAGAAATTTTGTTACATCAAATTTTAACTCTCTCAAGTAAAGTTTTATTTGGTTTTTTTTTTTAGATAAAATGAAGAGATTTAAAAGGAGAGGAATAAAGACTAAGAACATTGCAGGATCCGAAAACAACGGACATAGGTTGATGTGAGTTCTGAAATATTATTTTCTATCTCTTTATTTTGGAAGTGTCTTTGTTTTGTTTTGGTTTTGTTTTTGTTTGTGTTTTTGTCGATTCCTTCTAATTCTGAGACAGGGGAAGAACAACCGAGGAATCCAAGTTCCTCCCTAGGAACCGCGATTCCTCATTCATGCTTTTTCAACTGTTTCCCTCTAACTCAGGTTCTCCTTTTTTATCTCTCACACATCTTTTTCATCAACCGGAAATAACGAGCATGGCCCTTTTCTGTTATGCAATATTGTTCTTCCTTATTCCCTGTGTTTGTGTTTCAACCCCGTGATGTTGCTTAATTCCTTCATGCATGCACACGCTTTATCCCACCGAATGCTTTCCCAATCCAATCTTTCTATTATTTTCGCCTTATATTTCCTTGCATTTTCCATATCACAAGCTCTTAAAGCTCCTTTTATGTTTTCCTTTCAACATTGCACCGTGTTTGCCAGGCTTTTGTGTTCAGGCAATGGATCAACTTCCACGTTGTCTTTCCTCAGCATATTTCAAAATTTCTTTCTCTCCACTGCATATTTCACAAGTATATATTATATATTCTATTAGTTTTTAAATCACTTGAAGAAAATAGAATGAGAAGACAATTTTCAGAACTAAATAAATTATGGATGAGAAATAGTGTGAACTTACTTTAGAAAAAAACATTGAATAAAAAAGTCCGAAGGAATCAAACTGGGCTGAGAGTTTATTTGCATTTTTATTTTTATCGGTAATACTATGCAGAATGAAGTTTGGTCTAAATTGTTGATGCTGACAAATTCTGGATTTCTTTTTCTTTCCTCTCAAGCACTTACTTATTAAGGGATAGTATATTTTCAACTCTATATTTCATTCTTCAGGTTTCATGCAGAGAAGGTGATCACTGATTTACTATTGAATCAGATTCATGTAAAATATAGTAGTAGTGCATTATATCTAGCAGGTTAACGGTGACAAACAATCCATTTATCCATCCTCTGTCCAGTTCATCCACAACTAACTTCATTCAATCCAGCACCGATCTCTAGGAGACCCAATCACAGGGCCTGAATTCTTTAAGTTGGCAGCAATGTTAGGAGGGTTAGTAAAAAAGTTCGCCTACGCAATGGGAGGCTGCGCCTCAAGGCCTAACGGTAAGGCTAATAATATTCATAAAAGAGGAAGCAAAAATTCTAGAAAACGCAAGGGATATGTTTCCAATGCTGTACCTGACATGCCGATAAAAAGGCTTAGCAATGCTGGTGACCATGTGGGAGACTTTCCCCTTGATGACTGCATTCAAGACTTTGAGAATGGTGCTCCAGCCACGACTCCGAAATCTGATGTTTCTAACGTGAAATTTCATATCGCCCAACTCCAATATCACAGCCGTAGTAGAAAAGATTCAAATGGTTTGTTTTTTTTTTTTTCTCTCTCCCTCCCTCCTTTAAATGAACACATTTAAAAGATATGAGACCTGTAGCATAGTAGTAACTTTAACCATTTTTATGGTGCAATTAATGATTTTATTTTTGTTTTTGGAGAAGTTTCGAAGATGGTTCTTGTGGAATTGGATTCTTGTGGTGGACATAGATCACTTTGATATACATGTTGAGCAATTATGTTTTGCAGGAAAAATCCATGAGGATGCCTGGTTTGACTCAGCTAGCATTATAGAGTCTGAATCGGATGATGATTTCAGTAGTGTGCATGGAGGTGATGCATTTGCATAATTTTGTTTCCTACCTTGTGACTATTTTATAATTTTTACTTTGATATGCTCATGAAATTTCTCTGTTTCTTGCTTTTGGCCAACAGATTGTTTTCCCTTTATTAGTAATGCTTTGGGAAATGTCCCAAACACTCAATTACTCCAGCAGCATGAAAATGAATCGTGCTTTGTAGATTCAGGATTATATGAAAGCCACATTAAAGGTAGTGACAATGAGACTGCGGAGGTTTGTTCTAATGACATGAACCATTCTCCATCAAGTCCTCAAACTGTACAAAGAAAGCAGCAACCGGCAGTATTTATGCTTTCTGTGCAAAAGAAATCCATTGATGGAAGTGAGAAAAATGAATTATGTAAGTACAAAATGAATTAAGATTTTTCCTTTGTTTCTGGTCAACTTTTGGTGGTTGTTGGGAAATATTTCATTATTCAGATCTTTATTGCTTAAAAATCTTCAAATGTAAAATAATCATTTTTGTCTTAAAGCTTTGGATCTTTCCTTGCCCAACCATGATAAAGTAATCTGTATTTGAGTCAACTCAATAATTCTTGATTCTTAGCTCTTATTTGGTCTGGTCAAAGCACTAAAACATTAAAAATAGATAATGATATAAACCAGTTATATATCTAGACCTAGTGGACTTATGATAACAATAAATGAGTGAATGGGTAGGTGCATCCGAGAGATTTCTGTATCGTCCTAAAGCTGGGCTTCAGATTCCAAATACAGCTCAAGAGAAACCATGCCCTGGTTCCTGGTCCGTAGTTTCACCGTCAGTTTTCAGTCTCCGTGGAGGAAATTTTTTCAGGCATGTCAGAAAATTGAATCTGTCAATCTTTTGTTATGTTATACAATCTATATCCATTAATTATTTGATTTCCTTTCGGTTCATCTGAAGGCTTGATATTAACTTACTACACATGATAATAATTAACTATGCAGAGATAAGCAGAAGTGCCCTGCTCCAGATTTTAGCCCTTATGTACCAATAGGTGTTGATTTATTTGCCTGTCCCCGGAAGATAAATCACATTGCTCGGCATCTTGAAATTCCATCTTTCGAAGAACATGAGAACGTACCTTCCCTCCTAATTGTTAATATACAGGTTCACTCTCCATCTCAAACCACATATTGCTCCTTCTGAATTGAATCAACTTGTAACTTCACCTATAACAAGGTTTTCTGGATATTGACATATTGTATTTCTATTTGAACAACATACAAGAATGCCACATAGCTTAATAAGGCTACTTTCTTTTGTCCCAGTTGCCAACATATCCTGCTAGCATGTTCCCCGGTGATGCTGATGGGGAAGGCTTGAGCCTTGTATTATATTTTAAATTATCTGAGAATTTTGAAAAAGATACTTCTCAACACTTCCAGGAGAGCATCAAGGTATTTCTTATTAATAATTGCATATTTTGAGTCCCAAATCTGTATGCTTACAATAATTTTCCTCTATTAAAAGTAAAAGACATTTGCAAGTAAAAAATCCTTTAACCGTTGACAGCTTTGCTTCCTAGGCTATAGAATTTCAATATTTCATTGGATTATATCATCTAAAATAATTGTTGCCCCACCAAACAATTAAGGAGGTCCGCAGCCTACCTCTCAAGATAAACCATATGAAAATTCACTCTGATTCTTTTTTCTCATCATCAGTCACACTCACTTTTCATTAATTTATGGATAATTCTTATAATCTATAATAATCAATTATCAGTAGCTTCTCCCCTTTCAAAACAAGTCAAGTTAATTTGAAGTGAAGAGCTAAAGTGGCTGTTTATTACATGCTATGTTTGGTTAAAGTCTTGGCTCTTTGGTAGGTTATTGGAATTCCATTTTTTTCTTTCTAAGGCTATTCAATATCTTTATGGGTAATCCTGCCATGATCTCTCTTGATTTAGTTCTACAATCCTCTGTCAAAGTCTCCCTGATTTAAAGCGTATCTGAAATTGTTTCCAATGCTTGATTACACTCACGAATAACCCATCTATAGATGTTCTATAAATTCTTGGTTTCACATTTGAACTCAGTCCTTAATGCTCATACTTATTCTATTGTTAGTACAGATTTTCTGTATATTTTTGCTGCAGAGGCTCGCACTTGGCTACTTTATTATTTTAGTTTAATAACAGTATTGTTTTCACAGAGATTAGTAGATGATGAGATGGAAAAGGTGAAAGGCTTTACAAAGGAAAGCTTGGTTCCCTTTAATGAAAGGCTAAAAATTTTGGCTGGGCTAGTTAATCCAGAGGACCTTCAGCTAAATTCTACAGAGAAAAGGCTTATAAATTCCTACAATGGAAAGCCAGTGCTTTCACGCCCTCAACACTGTTTCTTTAAGGTATATATACAAATGTATCTCTTGGCTTCAAATTTCCTTCTTTAACTTAAATTACCATGCAATAAATCAGTATATCCTTGTTAATCAGCTGTTAAATTATGTATCTTCAATTCTTCATTGCAGGGACCTAACTACTTCGAGATTGACTTGGATATACATCGCTTTAGCTATATAGCAAGGAAAGCACTTGATTCACTTCGAGACCGCACAAAAGATGTAGTACTTCATTTGGGCTTAACTATCCAGGTACAATATGGTCTTGCAACTTACCATTCGAACACCTTTAGGTTTCAACGTAATCAAACTACTTACTCTCTCGACAGATGATAGACTCAATTCTTTGATCCATCAGTTGTATTGTATCAGTGAGACTATTGTCATTCTTTTTATAGATGATATAAACCACCAAATTTCCAAGCAAGAAAAGACAAGATTAGATTTCTCTAAGTTACCAACATAGAGTGTTCTTCTGTCCACTTTCATTATTTTCCTCATAATTATACCTTCCCCATATTTTTGAGTAAATAAATGACTGAAAAATCACGATGAATTCAACTCATAATCAAGAAGTGTTCCCCAAGCAAAACTTTTTGGAAGCCCTTTTCATGTCATGATTTAATTATTAAAGTTCTAGGAGTATCTTCCTTTTTTAAAGACTTAGCATCACCAAGCATGATGTTTTTCTCAGCTGATTGATCATTATATGGCAAAGGTTCCATATTTTATGCTGCTTACGGCTTTGACAGGCAGAGAAGACTTAGCATTACCAAGCATGATGTTTTTCCTTGTTTTTCTATGCTTTGACAGGCACAGAAGCAAGAGGAACTGCCAGAACAAGTTTTATGCTGCTTACAGCTGAATAAAATTGATTTTGTTGACCATGGTCAAATTCCTACCGTTGTAGCTCTTGATGATAATTAATTCATGTGGGCATCAGGTGGCAAATTGGGGTAAGACCCACATGATCATCTATGAGGGGAAAAGAAAAGAAAGATTCAAGGGCTGCTTTAGCTTTACAATAATCGGGTGGTAAATATACATACTAACAATGGAAGCAAAAGAAGAGAAGCAAAATTTAAGCAATTAGTGCTTTCTCTCATATGCAATATTTTTTTCTTTTAGCGTATTTAAGTCCTGAATATATGTTTTTCTTGCTCCTTTGATTTCCCCTGGATAATAGATTCTAAGGTCATGTTTATGGAGTTGGTCAAAATGAGGCTCCCTAAGGACTTACATGTCAATGAGGTTCCCAAAGGTGGAGTTGCTGAGTAAAATGCATTCATTTTTTTTTTTATCATTTGTGTATTCTAACCAGATTATTTTCTTCTACTTTCTTCACCCTTTAGCATTATATTTATATCTTCTCTAATTTAAATTGTTAACTTAAATTTATGAATAAGCTCCTTTTAATTTATAAAGAAGGAAATTTTACACACCAATTGCTACTATCGATGTAGAAAAATTTTTTAAATAATTTTTATTGTACTTATTCCCGTGGAGAACACACAACACACCTATATTTCATATTTTTTATTCTAACACAGGAAGTTCCAAAATGCATAAAAAGATACATAAATTGGTTTTTCTAACACAACACTAAAAAAGATATCCAGCATTATAAGAAAATAGGTATAAAAATTACAAATTTAAAGTAAAAATGTTAATAGGTTTACAGATTATTAATTTAAAGCAAAATGTGTTGTGCAGCGTTGTTGAATATGTACAATTTCATCTACAGTGAATAGGGATAGCAAATTACTGATTTAAAGTAAAAGTGTTGTCCAACGTTGCTGAACATATAATTTCATCTTCAGTGAATGGATTTGGATTGATGAAGATCTAGGAGTTAAAACAAATGAAAGTAATTGTCATTGTGTAAGAAACATGTAATTAAACACTTTTTGCTAATGTGTATTACTTCTTTCCAGCAATCATCAATATCTACCGTGACAATTGTGAACATATGTCTCATCAAAAAATACTCGCTCTCATTATCCCTGATTGTGTTTAAAAATGAATATCACATATGACAAAAATAGTAATTAAAGTATTACAACTTTAATTGACAATGAAGTTATAAACTACTTCAGCTTGGAAAAACCTATGTAGGTTTCTTCCTAGATATTGACGGTAAACCTACCAATTTTTTAAATCCGTTCATATCTCCACCATAGGAAATATTAAGGTAAATTACAGTCTAGTTTTAAGAATTAAAAAACATACATATTAAAAGAAACTTGTATTAGAAATGAAATCTTATAAATCAACTAGTTTTCGTATCTTTGTTGATTGTCTTTTTTGCCTTGGCAAAATTTGGGTCATGTATATATATGATACATAATTTAAATGTGTTAGGGTCATTATTTATTAAGCCAAATAATAAAGTGATCTGACTAAATTAAAGTTTTGGCTAAAAGCATATGTCATGAAAATAAAATTATGTAGAGACCATTGAACAATTTCTAATTTGATGAGAGACCAAATTAGAAATACTAAAACTTAAGTAATTAACCTAATTTTGGTTATTTAAAGGGTCATGGTCCCCTTCTGGGAGCACATAGACAGAACGTAAGTTGCATTCCTGTTCCTTTCTTTCTATCCCCATCAAGAGAGAAAATCAAGAGGGAAATATAGGTGCTCTGGAAGACCATAAGATTAATACAGTGCTCTACAAAGACATCATCATTATGGCTAATTCAGGTACGCTTTCGCATTCAGTTTACAGCATGTTTATCAGTATGGGATTATGTTTATGTTTGATCGTTAGAATCAAAATCAGGATTATTATTATTACTATTAATTTTCCAACAATTGGTATCAGAGTCGCCCATATTTGATTCATGTATGTTTAATTTATAGAACCCTAATTATGAAAATTAGGATTAATTTTGTTTTAAACAATTCAAATTACTCAATTTTATGAATCCTAAGTGGAGAATAATCTCTAATTTTTCGTGAACCCTAAAATTTAAATTTGGGGGTAATATCCCCAATCTGATTCTACTTGCTGATGGAACCGTGAAGGAAGCTATAGATTCTTCTTCTTCGTTTTTTCCCTTTATTTCAGTTTAAGTTTCAAGTTTTACTGAGAAAGAAACAGTGTTTCAAATTTCAATTTTTTTTGTATTGGGTTCTCTGTTCTTTTTTGAATCACTACTACAAAATATGTTTTCAACGTCGCCATTTAACGTCGGTTAAAGCTGAGCCGACGTTAAATACACTTTCAACGTCGGTTGGTTAAAAAACGACGTTGAAAGTTGAATGTTGGACACTTTTAACGTCGGTTCCAAGTCAACCGACGTAGAAAGTACTTTCAACGTCGGTTCCAGATGAACCGACGTTGAAAGTCTTTGTATGGACACTTTCAACGTCGGTTCCAGATGAACCGACGTTGAATGTCATTTTATTGACACATTCAACGTCGGTTCCCTGATGAACCGACGTTGAATGTGTCTTCACCAAAAATTCTTTTAAGTTAGAGAATTGTCACTGACAGGGTTCGAACCCGAGTACTTTAGAGTTGAAAGTTGATACTCCAACCACTAAACTACTGTAATTTTACGATAATAACTTACAAATTAATTATATTTATATACAAATAAATATATATTACGTGTAAATATATATTTATTTATATTTTCTAGAAAGTGATTTTATTTTTTTTCAGTCGAAAATTCACTTAAGTTAGAGAATTGTCATCGACATGATTCGAACCCAATATTTTAGAATTGAAAGCTAATACTCCAACCACTAAACTACTGTAATTTTCTGATAATAACTTACAAATAAATTATATTTATATACAAATAAATATCCAGTGTAAATATATATTTATTTATATATATTTTTCGGAAAGTATTTTTATTTTTTTCGATAAAAAATTCACTTAAGTTAGAGAATTGTCACTGATAGGATTCGAATATAGTATTTTATAGAGTTGAAAATTGATACTCCAACCACTAAACTACTATAATTTTTTGATAATAATTTACAAATAAATTATATTTATATACAAATAAATATATATCAGTGTAAATATATAAATATAGAATATATAAATACAAATATATTTATATATTTTGATATATTTATATATTTTTATGTTGGATGTGAGGGCGCGATCGAGGGTGAAAGTGAGATTGACTCTCGCTTAAGTGAAAATACGTTAAAGCTCACGAAATTCACTCGTTCAAGCCTAGCTTGAGCGAAAATTGGTATTTTTCGCTTGAGCGAATGTGTCACTTGAGCGAATGATGCGTTTCCCAAATTTATTTTATATCATTATATAAATAAATTATAAATATTATATTACTGTCATTAAATTACAAATCCATATAAAGAGACTTGCTCACAAATTTGGCATCAAATTTTGAAAACCCACTCGACACACACTTTCACCTTCGAGCGTGCCCTCACATCCAATATATAAATATATAATTATTTAAATATATCAAAATATATAAATATATTTGTATTTATATATTTACACGGATATATATTTATTTGTATATAAATATAATTTATTTGTAAGTTACTATCAAAAAATTCGAGTAGTTTAGTGGTTGGAGTATTAGCCTCCAACACTAAGGTACTGGGGTTCGAATCCTGTTAGTGACAAAAAAATAATTTAGTAATGCTTTAAACTTTAAAAAAATATGATAAATAATAAAAATATAATATAAAAGAGAGAGGGACCTAATAAAAATATAATATAAAAGAGATGGGGAATTTCTAGATAAATAGAGGGGTTGGAAATAAATAAAAAAATTTGATTTGAAAAATAAGACTTTTAACATCGGTTCTATTTAACCGACGTTGAAAGTCTAATAACTTTCTACGTCGGTTAAATAGAACCGACGTTGAAAGTCTTAACTTTCAACGTCGCCTGATACAACGTCGGTTCTGGAACCGACGTTGAAGGCCTTCCAGAACCGACGTTGAAGGCCTTATTTGTAGTAGTGAATCTTTTGTTTTTATTTAATTTTATGGGTTTGGAATTGGGAGTGGTTTTGAGGAATTCCCAACATAGAGGATCTTAGGCAACTGGTGAATGTTTCCACATGTGTGACTGTTATTATTTTATTGTTTTTCCAACAATAGGAATTTAAGGAAAATTTGATGTTAAATTAGGGTTTGAGTGATTACTCATTCATTCCCTTTTAGGGTTTAGAGCAGTATGATAAAGAGACTCAGAACTATCTCTGTTTCATCCCTATTGTGATTTTAGGGAGATGTTCATCATTTATGTATTGGTGGAAAATGAGGCATTTTTTCATCCTTTGATTTATTCAAATGAGGTGTTCATTCCTAATGAGATTTTAGGGAGGTGTTCATCCTTAGTAGAATTCTAATGAGGTGATTCTCTTTTGAATTAGTTTGCAAATATTAAATATTTGGTTTTGTTATATAAATAAAATATTCAATTTTTGGTAGTTTAATATTTTTTTTGAGCAAATTGAGTCAAGAAGTCACCAAAGTAACTTCTCTTGAATTGGGCAGTTCATGAAAAATATTGAATGTTAGTGTTTGTGTATATTCATGCGAGTATTAGTCGGCCCAAAGGAAGATTAATATTTGGCCGAATTGCATATACACTTGTAATGATAAACATGTGATAATTATAAGGATTTGCTTTGTCGATGATAAATCAATCCAAAGACTGGTTTGTTGTTGGACGTGCTTTATTGTCAATGTTTGATTATTACAACAAGATACCTCTAGCAGTTAATATTACTGTCCAAAGACTTGATATTGATGGTGCATTGGGTGTCTTGAGATGGGTTAAACCACTATTTGAATATATATTATTTATTTTTTATATAATGTGAGCATAATTAGTTTATTTCTCGTGTTCTAAATTCAGCTACAATTGCTTCTGTATCTGCCAATTTAAATTTTGTTTCAGTCCTCAATGGAACAAATTTTAAGGACTGGAAAGAGAACATTGATATTGTTCTTGGTTGCATGGATATGGATCTTGCGTTAAGGACTGAGCAACCCCCTACTCCTACGGATTCAAGTACCTCTGAACAGAAAAGAAATTATGAGAAGTGGGATCGCTCAAATCGCATGAGTCTAATGATCATTAAGCGTGACATCCCGGAGGTGTTTAGGGGCACTATTTCTGAAAACATCACAAGTGCCAAATAATTCCTTGCTGAAATTGAGCAGCGCTTTGCAAAAAGCGATAAGGCGGAGGCAATCACTCTTCTTCAGAACTTGATCTCCATGAAATATCAAGGCAAAGAAAATATCAGGGAGTACATTATGAGCATGTCTAATATTGTTTTTAAAATCAAGGCACTAAAGCTTGAACTCTCAGAAGACTTGCTCATTCATTTGGTGTTGATTTCTCTTCCTGCAACGTTTAATCAATTTAAGGTATCTTACAAATGTCAGAAGGATAAATGGTCTCTTAATGAGCTCATTTCACATTGCGTACAAAAAGAGGAAAGACTAAAGCAAGACAAGATAGAAAGTGTTCATTTTGCAAGCACCTCCAAGGCTAAGGGCAAAAGAAAGAGATCAGAGGATCTCGAGAAAGAAGCTGCTAAGGGTTCAGAACAAAAGAAACAAACTCAAGAAAACAAATGTTTCTTTTGCAATAAGATTGGACACATAAAGAAGAAATGTGATAAATATCATGTTTTGCGTGAAAAGAAAGGTTGCCTAAACTACCGGAAGCCAATTGATTCTGAAAGATGGATTTATGTTGGAGATGGTAAATCGGTAGAGGTGGAAGCTATAGGACATTTTAAATTGTTATTGAGTACTGATTTTTTATTTGGATTTGAAAGACACTTTTGTTGTGCCGTCATTTAGACGGAATTTGGTTTCAGTTTCTTATTTGGACAAATTATGTTATTTGTGTTCATTTGGAAACAATAAGTTCAGTTTGTCTTTTAATTCAAATATTGTTGGAACTGGTTCACTTTTGATTTATGATAATCAGTATTTACTTGATATTGTGGTCACCTATAATGAAACCCTTAATACAAAATCACGTGGTATTAAACGTAAAATTGAAAATATTCATTCAGGTGTATTATGGCACAAGTGCTCAGGTCAAATCAAATCGTGACGTTTGAGCTTGTGTTACACTCTTAAAGATATGGTAAAGAGTATGATTTGTCATTCCACCTTACTGGAATCACTTTGGGGAGAGACACTAAATACGACAGCTTATATTCTAAACAGAGTACAAACTAAAGCAGCTACCAAAACACCTTATGAGCTTTGGATTGGGCGACAACTTAGTCTAAAACATTTCCATGTGTGGGATTGTCCAGCTGAGGCAAGACCTTATAAGTCAAATGAAAAGAAATTGGACTCCCGAACAGTAAGTGGTTATATTATTGGTTATGCTGAAAGATCCAGGGGATATAAATTTTATGATCCCACATTAAAGACAATTTTTTAGACGGGAACTGCTACGTTCTTTGAGGATATTGAGTTTGGGGGGAAGAATAAGATTAAGAACTTTATCTTGGAGGAAGAATCGGTAACAATTTCAGAACCGATTCAAATAGTTACTTTTGATAAAGTAAGTTCAGAACCTCCACAAGGCATTATTGATGAACCCCTTACTCAAGATGATTTGGTTGTTCATGAAGAACAAACTCAAGATCCTCAAGAACTTGTGCATCATGAGCTAATAACTTTGCAGAGATCCACTAGAGAAAGAAGAAGTGCTATTTCGGATGATTACATGGTATTTCTTCAGGAACATGAGAAAATAATGATATAATGGAAGATGATCCAGTTAACTTCCGTCAAGCTATACAAGGTTCTAACTCTCAAAAGTGGATTGAAACAATAGGATAAGTATAAGTCCATGCAAGACAATAAGGTTATTGGGAACTTGTCCCATTACCAGAAGGTATGAAACTCATTTGGCTTCAAGATGAATATTGTTGATGATTGTATGTATCACAAGTTTAAAGGGAGACAAGTTTAGTCTCAATCAGTGCCCAAAGGGAATTTGGAAATTGAGGAAATGCAAAAGATTCCCTATGCATCAGTTGTAGGGAGTTTGATCTATGCCCAAGTATGTACGCATCCAGACATAGCATATATAGTTGGGGTTCTAGGTAGATATTTAAGCAATCCAGGAATAGACCATTGAAAAGCAGCAAAAAGGGTCATAAGATATTTAAAGAGAACAAAAGATTATATGCTTACATATAGGAGGTCAGACCAGTTGGAGATCGCTGGGTTTTCTGACTCAGATTTTGTAGGATGTCAAGAATTCGTTACAGGGCTGCAAATTGTGAAAGGCATTGAAAGACCACTTAAGTTATATTGTGACAATAAATCAGCTGTATTGTTAAGGAAAGAGTACAAAGTGGACAGATTTTCATAGAACACTTAAGGACAAACTTCATGATACCAGATCTTCTGACTAAAGGACTTCCGCTCAAGGTCTTTCATGAGCATTTTGCTCACATGGGTGTTTTACAGTTTGAGGTTTAGTGGGAGTTAGTCACTTTCATATATTTTATGTTCTATGTTTAATTTCATATATGTATACATTGTTTTTTGGACATATTTGGTTATCTATAGATATGCGGTTTTTTCGTTCATTCATTACACTTTGTACATTAAGGATATTATATCGATCTCAATAAGTTAAAGTTTGGAACAGTTGAAAATAGATGTGTACAGTTCACTTTCACGTAATTTTTCATGTTACACATTTCATGATGAATTCATGTCATTTGGTTATGTTAGGATGAGTAATCATTGTTGGTTTTAGTTGCAATGATGCAATGAAAAGTTGGTTTGGTTCTATATCCTGGTATAATTAATGGATAAGACTTTTGGAGTATGCTAAAGTAATATAATGACAATTTTGAGCTCATAAAGTATAACACATTTGTAAGGTTGTAAGGACATATATATTTGTGACCAGTGGGAGATTGTTGGCAAAATTTGGGTCATGTATATATATGATACATAATTAAAATGTGTTAGGGTCATTATTTATTAAGCTAAATAATAAAGTGATCTGACTAAATTAAAGTTTTGGCTAAAAGCATATGTCGTGAAAATAAAATTGTGTAGAGACCATTGAACAATTTCTAATTTGATGAGGGGTCAAATTAGAAATACTAAAACTTAAGTAATTAACCTAATTCTGATTATCTAAAGGGTCATGGTCCCCTTTTGGGAGCACACAGAACGTAAGTTGCATTCCTGTTCCTTTCTTTCTATCCCCATCAAGAGAGAAAATCAAGAGGGAAATATAGGTGCTCTGGAAGACCATAAGATCAATGCAGTGCTCTACAAAAACATCATCATTATGGCTAATTCAGATACGTTTTCGCATTAAATTTACAACATGTTTATTGGAATTATGTGTGTACGTGTGATAGTTAGAATCAAAATTATTATTATTATTATTATTATTATTATTATTATTATTATTATTATTAATTTTTCAACATTTTCAGCAACGAATACAGTAACACAACAATATTAAATTAAACAAGAAACTTAAATTAAGTCAAACGATGGTGGTGGCTTACTTGAGAGCGGCGTGTGAATCCGTGCGATGGTAGATGAAAACGATGCATAGGCGCGACGGTGAGCAATCGGTGGTGACATTCGAACAGCATTGGAGAGAAGAGGGAGACAAAGGCAGTGAGGGAGAGAGAAACGGCGACGAGCAGTTGCGGTGACGAGTGCAATCTCAACCAGTCGGCGATGACGAGAGTGTCTAGAAAACCTCGACTGGTTTACATAGATTTTTTTTTTTCACTTATCATTCCTTTTTTTTTTTAAATCTACTTATTCAAACGATTAATATATGAAAGTCTTCTCAATATTTTAAAACAATAATATAACATTCATAATTAATTAATAAAAAAAACTGAAATTTGACATTAAATTCATTTATTAACATCCAAGAGTAATGAAAAAGTCAAACTTTAAATTGAATAAATTTCTCTTAACTTCAGCTTCCACGACTAGTTTGATTTAAATTTTAAAGAAAATATGTACAAAATTAAATTTAATAAATTATTTTATAATCACTTAATTTGAAAAAGAAAAAGGTTAGTTGAATTTGAGTGATTAATTTGAAAAGTAGAAAATAATTAATATAATTTGAGTTATCAATCTGAAAAATGAAAATGTCATTTTGAAAATTCCGTAATTAACATTTATAAATTATTTTCAACCAATAAGAACAAAAAAAAATATATTGATTTTCTTTCCAAAAACATTAGAATAGTAAATTGACGTTTATTTCTTTTTTCTATTCTTATAAATGAAGATTGGAAAATAATTCATAATGATTTCTAACATAAGTGAAAAGTTAGTAATGAAACATTGAAATTATAAACTAAACAATTTTCTTATAAATTGTTAATATTAATATCTGTTATTTTGTATCGTTTCACACTCTCTTTTTTTCTTTTTACTTTGTTTGTTTCAACACAAAGATTAAATATGAGAATCTTAAATGATAACCAGTAATGGACACACAAATAATAATAATAATTTTATGTATTGCCCTAAGAAGGTGGCTGCATAGGCTAACCAATAATGACTGAAATATTGTCTTTTGCTTCTTTCTCATTTTGTGACTTTGACATCAATTTAATTCTTAGTTAATCTTGAACTATATATAGAATTTGAGAATGTTTTTTTGTGTTATATATTAGTGTGATGAGTTGAACATAATATTCTGTATATATGTGGAACTATGAGAAAAATATATATTAAATTATGAACCAAAAACCTAAGTTATATGCTCTTCCTTCAATCTTAGATTTTCCACAGGTCGCTGTTCATAACCCCCAACACCCCTGCTGCTGAAACGATGCGTCTCATTGGGTGTGGCATTTTGTTCTTTCAGCTGTGATGCATTATTGTTGGCAAGTGTGTGGCTATTAGTTCTAGCTGCTGGCACATCATGATTATGTTTTCCTTCATACGTTGTTATGACAGCTTTAGGATCAGTTGAAGCCCTCTCAACATGCTTTCGAACATTGCAACCTGGGGTTGTGCACTTGTAATAGCTCCTACACACCGTAAAACCATGCATCTCGCACTCTTTTCCAAGTTAAATATAAGCAAATAAAGTGTTTAGGAAAACCAATATCACCTTGGGTATGGGTTGCCTTTGACAACTTTTTGTCCATATTTACGCCATCTATATCCATCATCCAAGAGATCCACTTCACTTGTTGTCTGCACAACGATTCTAGGTTCTGCCACAGTTCTATGCAAAGAGTCTGGATCCTGGTGTCTGGCTTCTGTGTTTCTGCAGAATCATTAAACTTTCCAACATTACACAAGGCCAAATAATATCACCCCACCATGAACATGTTTATATGAGCTAAACCCTCACCTCCTCTTGCGATCAGGTTCATCATTTTTCTCATCCACTTCAGTCTCATGATCACTATCACTTGTCCCCGACCCATGTTCAGCTGTTGCCTGACTAGATTCTAGATCCATCTGAGAACTCATCTCTTCTTTCGACTTATCTGAATTTTCAGTTGAAGTTAGGGTACCTCTTGTGGTCTTACTGGGATGAGGACGTGGATGGTTGTGCTCTCCTTTATAAATAATTGCAGTTACATGACCCCCAAGAGATCGTTCAAGCTTTTTCTTGACAGGACAATTTGGATGTGTGCATTTGTAATAACTTCGAGAAAAGTCACTACCCTTGACATGTTTCTGCCCATACTTCCTCCAGTTATATCCATCTTCATTAGGCTTATCAGCATTGACAGATGGAGAGTGAAACTTTTTTCAGATTGAGGAAAACCAATGGATTCTGTCACCCCAGAAGCTGGCATTGAGGTTGGCTGTGGTATCAGTTGTTGTGCAGTGGTGGAAATAGTTGTACGAACCTGTGTCAATGTGGTAGCAGGCACTGCTGTGGAGAATGGATGTTCAGCTTGGATTTGCACATTGGAGTGTGTGACCTGTGCTAGCATTTGCTGGTCTGTCATTCCAAAGTGTCCCTATATAAGGAAAGCAAACATTTAAAGTAAGGTATTGAGAAATGAATATTAGGGAATTAAAGAGAACACTTCAATAAAAATTGTACTAGAGTACATTAAAAATCTCAAGAGACAATGTTACATTCAATAAATAATGCTACGTTGACAGAAAACCTTGGCTGTACTTTTGCTGCATCACTTTCTTTCATATAATGTTCACGTACATTTACCATCTTATTTATGATCTTATCCTTTCGTATGTTAGACCATTCTACAGCCTAAAGATTAGGTAGGAGAAAGTAATAAGTAAATTATGCTCTTAGTAAGTAATAATAGGTAATCAAAACTTATAAAAAAAATTGGTAAATTAGAAAACCTGTTGTGACTTGAAAATGACCAAGGTCATTATTAAGTGATCTAAAATTATCAGGATTTCTGTTAATTTTCTAATAACATATAATCAATAATTATTAACTTTTATAAATTATAAAATTTGAATATGTTATACAAAATATATTTATATTCAAGTAATTTCACCTGTTATATATTTTTATTCCAATAAGAGGAATATCCACCTTCATAAAGATTTTCTTAAAAGAAGCTCATGTCCCCTGATAAATGAACTTTAAAGACAAAACTTTCATGAAGTCATACTCGTCAAAACCTATCCTCTAACTAAAATTCAAGGCTAAATGTTCATTACGTAACATTATTCTAACGTAAAATGTATCTTGAGATGTGTGGTTGGAAAAATTATAACAAATGAGATGTGTTACCTGAGAAGGTGAATCAAGAAAGAACTGGGGTGGGGTGGGGTCCACTATGGCGCCGGCGAGGAGCTCCGAGAACGACTTACACTCATCGCCATCGCCGAATAAGTTGGAAAGTAGAGTCATGGGACCAGGGCTATACCCCACGGTGGCCCCGCCGTTGAAAACTCCCTCCGTGGAAGCGTGTGATCGGATATTATTCCTGGGACGCGCCGCCGTCGAGGGTGGTGCTCCTCCTTTCCTCTCCATTTCCACCGCCAACCATTCACCTTGAATGAACCAAGACTTTAAAAATCTTTTTTGTTCCTCTCCTCTTTCTCCTGTCTTTCTTTTGTGGAAAAAGAAAAAAAAAAAAAAACTCTAATCAAAATCAAAAGTATGCAACCTTTTTGCTCTGTGTCTGTTATACGATGATTCTGGTGTTCTTTTTGGATGGTTTGATTTTGGGGTTTTCGTGGATCCCAAACTCAATTTTCAATTTCAGCAAAAAGTCCACGCCACTCATACCCCAGAGCAAAAAAAAAACATTTTCTCTTCTCCCTCACGTATCAACAAAATAATATATATATTTGATTTTTTAATTGCACAATGTTATCATCATCTTCTTTCTTAATAACTTAACCAGAGGAACCGTAATTTGTTTTTCATGTTAGCTTGCCCACAGATAAAACACATCACTGTTATTTAAGTTAAATATTTATATGTCTTATTTCATGTTTAAAATGATTATATTGATTATTGACTTTGAATTAAATAATTTTAAAATACTTGTAGTAAAGTTGAATATTAGCTCAACATAAACAGCATCACTTTAATGCTAATATTAAACAAAATAAGTTTTGTAACATTGAGGGAAAGTATTGTATGGAAGGTTCCTTTTGTAGGTTATTTTAAATGTTAAAAAAAAATTGAAGTTAAATGTTTGGGCGTACAGGTGGGGGAATTTGTTGAATAGTCGATATTACCCTCAAAAGGTTTTAGAATTACATGAGTTTGGAGGAGGTGGACGAATGGTGTGAGGTGGCGTGAGGGGCAATGGCGAGAAGAGAGTGGCGCAGTAGCAGTCACGTTGTTGCGTTGCGTTTGTCTTTGTGAAGATAAAATAAGGAGGAGACTGAGTCAAGTCACAAAAACTGACAACAACCTTTTCCACTATAATAATACTCTCGGACATGTTTTGCCTTTTATTATTATAAATAAGTTCCTTTGTTTTTATTTTAGTTCAAAAATTACGTAAGAAAATGTACAAACAATAAGATTCTGGTTTATCTTAATTGTTTGTCTGAACTTCTTTAAAAAAATACCTAAACCGGTGGGCATAAGGATTTTAAATTATGAATAAAAATCATGAAAATATATATAGAGGTGCGTATGAGATTTGAGTTGGGTGAACCAAGTCATTACACAGTCTATTAAAAAAAATTGGTTGGATTACACTTAATCGATTTTTTTTTTATTATTTAATCTAATTATTAATTGGGTTGTAAATTTCTGGAAAAAAATAATTTTTAATTATAAAACGTATTTTTTAAAATAATTTTAAAAAAACTATATCATTTATTAGATTAGATTGGATTTGATCCAATAAAAAAAATCAATACTTAAATGTCCTCTTTAATGATTTTTTTTTTTAGATTTTGCTTAAAAAGGAAAATAATGCATAACTCAAAGAGGCCACACTTCTTAGAATAATTTATTTTTTTAATTATCTTTTGGATTAAATATGGTTTTAATAGTTTTAAATTTAGTAACTTATGTTTATTATTATAAGGTTAAAATTGATGTTTTTAATTTTTGTAGTTATAAGAAATTTTGTTAGTATTATTTTCTTTACGTGTCATTAAAGATTATCTATTATGAATTCTTTATATCATAAATTTTTACCAATTTTTTTTTCTTTCCAAAATACTCATTGATGATTAGGTAAGAAAATTACAAAGAAGGATTTAATTGTAGATAAATCTAGAAAAAGGAAAAAAAATGGGTTGTAAAAGTATGTCTAAATATTCAACTTTAAGCAGTTTACATGTAAATGGATCTGTGGCGCAATGGTAGCGCGTCTGACTCCAGATCAGAAGGTTGCGTGTTCGATTCACGTCAGGTTCACTCTTTTTTTACTGTATTTAGTTATGAGGTAAAAATAAATAAATTACACTTTTTATATCTTCAAAAGATGTCAATATAAAAAAATTTATATTTTCTACGTAAGTAAAATTTTAAAAATCGTGAGAAATATTTTTATGATAAAAAATTTGTTAGTAAAATATTCATAAAAAATTACATTCTCATATGATATCTTTTTTATATAAATATGTATTAAAAATTTTCTAGACTTATTTATGACAAAATTCTCACATACTTATTTATCGGAAAATTCTCACACGCTTATGCATTAGAAATTTTTTACAACCTAATTAATGAAAAAAAAATTCACAAATTACTCCGTGCAAAATAAAAAAAAAATTATCATTTTTTTTATCTAATAATTCTTTGAAAAAAATTTCAAAAATATTTTCCATAAATTTTTTTTAAGAAATGACTATTTTTATTTTTATTATTATTTTGTTGTAATTCAAAATTATTTTATATTTTTTATTGAATTTTCATAATTTAAATAATGAAACTTTTTAAACATAAAAAAAAAAAAAAATAGAGATAGAACATCATTGATCAACAAAGGTCCAACCCAATTTAGGTGCACTCAAAACTTTGAAGTTAATTGTTACATTATATTTGTTGTAACCAAGATAAAAATGTACAATGAGCAAATTGCACTCCATGTTATTGAAGAATAAGTTTCGCTATTTTATGGCCTTACATCAGATGAATAAAAAATTATTAAATAAACCACTTATGTACATAAGACGTACTACTTCCTAAAATTAAGGTGAACTTACTCAAAACTAATGTAATTGAATTTAGAAACACTAACAAATCCTCCCTTAAACTAAATGGTAGCAATAAGTTTATATCATATTTATATATTCCTAGTGACCTTCGTAGTATTAAAAAGTATCTAGTTTGAGATTGTTCTTGTGTTCCACAATGTATCATATTGATAGTTCCAATCTTTATAAGGTTTCGAAGGAAATGAAATCGGACATCAATATGTTTACAATGACCATGCATTATTAGATTCTTTGGTAACTTAATAACATAGCTACTATCACAATGAATTATAGTGGTTTGGCTTTGCATTACATAATTTTCTCAACACCCTTTTCAACCAAACGACTTGACACGTGCATGATGTTGCACCTATAAATTATGCCTCAGTAGTTGATAGATTCACAATTGGTTGTTTCTTTGATGACCAAGAAATAACAACTAAACATAATAGGAACACATAACTTGAAGTGTTTCTCCTATCATCCAAATCTCCTGCATAATCACTGTTAATATAAGCAAGAAGTTCATTGTTTCCTCCTTTTTGTAGAAAATGTCAATTGTTCCTTTTAAATATCTCAACACTCTTTTAGCTTCCAATAAATGTAGCTCAATAGGATTCTCCATGTACCTGCTAATTAAGCTTATCACAAACATCATATCAGGTCGAGTGGAGGTTAGATACATAAGACTTCCCATAATTTGTTTGTAGTAAGTCTTATTCACCTTAACACCAGTGTCCTTTAAGAGTTTAGCACCAGGAACAATTGGGTTTGAACTGGATTGCATTTATCCATTCCAAATCATTGTAGTATTGTTAATGCATATTTATTTTGACATAAGAAAATGACATTTGTTTATTGCATAACTTCAAGACCCAAAAAATTGTTAAGAATTCAAGTGTGAGTTTGAAGTCTCACATTGGGTAGAAATGAGAAATTTGAGTAACTTATAAGTGAGAAAAACCCATGACCTAATGTCTTAAGGTTTTGGATTGAGAGTGGTGTCATATTCTCTTATATGGTTTGACTCGGGTTCCATTTGTGAGAATCTCTCTATTGTTAGCCCCCTCGGAAAGATCCAACAGTGGTATCAAAGTTAATGTATACCAATGTGAAAGAGAATCACACTTGAGGGAGAGATGTTGAAAATTCAAGTGTAAGTTTGAAGTCCCACATTGGGTAGAAATGGAAAAGTTGAGTAACTTATGTTAGAATCGTGCAGCGGAATGTTTGCGTTTCCGAACAAAAACCAAAAGGGGGGGTGAATTGGTTTCTTAACAAAAATTAGGATTTTAAAAATTTTCCCAAATTTCACCGATTAAATTGTTGTGTAAAGTAAATAAAGCAAGGATAGAGTCTTATACAAATGATTTATACTGATTCGGATCAAAAGACCCTACGTCCAGTTGCTAATCACTCAAACAGAGGATTAACGTTGTCACTATAATCACGATTATACAATCAGATTACAAATAAGAAGATAAGGTAAAGAAAACATGATATGAATCACAAGGGGTAATTTAGGATCTTTAGGGTTAGAACCTTTTAGGAAATTTAGTAATTTAGTAATAAGGTGGAAGGAAAGAATCACTCTTTCCAAGGAAAGCAACACACAAAGGATGTGAAAGTCCTTTGATACAGCCAAATATTCTTGAATCACTCAAGAACTTAGGAGAATCACTCTCACTAAGATAAAAGAGATAAACTCTAATATTTCTGAATAAAATTTCACTTGTTATTTCTTGATAAGAATGGTTCAGCTAATATAGAAGCGTTGCCATCAGAATTACAAAAGACTCAATAAAAGAAAATAAATACTAATAATAACCCATTAATCTAGGAATTGAAAACTATTTAATGGAAACAAATAAAGGCTAATAATGATCCATTAACCTAGGAATTGAAACTACTTAATGACTGATTGTATTTGAAACTGTGGCAACCAAAAGTCAATCAGCTATGCACCCTTTGGTCTCCCAAAGGCTAATGACTAAATTTTCAATTGGGCCCTTATTACAACTTAAAACAAAATCAAACTAAAGCCCATTAATTGATCAAAACACAATTTGGTCAACCAACAATACTTGTTGAAGAGCTTCTTTTGTTTCCCTTGCTCTAGCCCTTATCATAGGTCATGTTCACATCAAAACACCTCTCTTAAGTCACACAAGAGATGAACACCTCCTTTGAATCCGACAAAGGATGAATAACAGTTTTCCCTAGAGACGACACAACACACAATCCACCAAGAAAACCCACTTAGTGATTCTTATCGCTTCTAGCCCACACTAGGTTTCAAAAGCCCCTTTTTCCTCCAACAAACAGTTGTCTGACAGTCACAACTCTCAACTTTTGTTTTGA